TGGGGGTTGTCGTCCAGCAATGCCTGAGGAACCAAGGTTGAATGACACAGATCAGATACAACACAATTAGGGACAAGCTAGGTATCAGTGCTCAGTGCCTTTAGGCAACTACTGGGACCACAATTACTTGGCAGAGCTTACTGGTGCTGGTACCTGCCCAGTCATAGGTCTATCTAATGGCAGCAGAGGTGGACAGCCACTTAAACTTCCCACAGTGCTCATGAACAGCACTCACCAGACATTATGGATGATGGTTGGAAATGAAAAGAGTCGGCCAATGCTGCCATTGTTGGACCTATCATTCACCAATGGAGGAGGAAACCTAACAGGGGGCACTGCTGACCTTTCCCATGGCAGTCATAATTTGGGATGCAACACATCACTCTTGATCTTTCATTCTGCATGCAACTCCCCCCCTCAAAAAAACAACAAAACACCCAACAACAATTGAAAAGACATATGTAGATAATAATAGAAAGAGTGGCAGGATCTGTGGATCCAAGGGATTCCTACCTCAGCTTTTCGGTGAAACCCATTGAGCAGTATAAAACTCACAGATTCAGGCAGTCAGAACAGACTTGCAGTGTTATAAGCCCTGCATTACAGGGCTCCCTTTTTATTTATTTATTGTTACATTGCTAGGGTTTCCCCGACTACTACAGAGATAGGGGGCAAGCTGTCTTCACTGCTGCCTCTACTTCCTAGCAAATCACCCCATCATGCTGCATAATTTAAGAAGCTAGCTACCAGTTCATTATGTTATCTGTGCTGTTTTTAATAGTTGCTTTCATTTTGGAAACCAGATTTGCTAGCAAGCTTGTGGCTTATATTGAGTTATTTGAGTCGGAACGTTTGTCCATCTAGCTCAGCCCAGGGACAGTCAACTGGGCAACCTCCAAATGTTGTTGGACTAAAGTTCCCATCAGCTCTGCCAGCATGGCCAATGGTCAGGGATAATGGGAGTTGAAGCCCAACAACTTGTGGAGCCTACCACTTTGGGTGCTTACGGTCTACACTGACCAGCAGCAGGTTTCAGACAGGGGCAGTCACAACCCTACTTGGAGATAGTGGGAATTGAAGTTGGGACCTTCTGTATGCAAAGCAGATGCTCTACCACTGAGCTATGGCCACGTGGGTTGCTGGAGAGGAATAAGATTACAAAGTCTTGTGTCCTGTGAAGAGGAGAACTCTGTGTGTTCTGGAGAAATTGGAAATGGTTTATTTCTTCAATTATCAGCTTCATAAAGGATTAAAATGCAGGTGCTTGGTGGGAGGGAATCAAGCCTTTAAAAAGACTCCTGGGAGATTCTTAGATTGGGTAGATTTCCTCAAAATATTAAAGACACTTCCTGTAGAGCCCTTATTCACATTCCTTAGTCTCTGCACAGAGCAGATCTGCTGTCAGTGTTACTTTGTCTCTTACAGCCTTTCCTCAACAGGTTAAGAATCCATTCAGACATCCATCTCTTCGCTTGAATCAAGGTGTTTGGCTGATCCCATTTTAAACGTCACAGTTGATTAAATCATTTCAGTTGGAGTTCCTTGCAAATCCATGGTCAGCTGCTCCTTGGATTCAGAGTGTAAATAAACAACAGATGGCTGCCTGTTTGTGCTAAAGGAATGGCCTGATACCCAAAGTGGTGTCTCCTTCCTTCCTGACAATTCCGTATTTGGTGTGTTATTGGGCTGGTTTCAGGGTTGGCACCAAGGTGTGATGGCCCCTCAGCAAGGAGCACCTTGGTGATCTTCCTATTTGGTCCCCTCCCACCTCCAAACTGTGGGCTTGGTAGTGCTGGCTGGGTCCCGGAAGATGCTTGCTACTTTCACTTTCCCACAGGAGCGATGGTGTGACAGACACTGCAGGCCATTGCAGGAAATGCAAGATGGTACATGGCTTCCTGTTTGGGATCAAAGAAGGCATCATTTTCCATTTGGCCCTGCATGCAGAACTGTTTCCATTCCACTACAGTTCACTTTCTGCCCCAAACTACATTTTCCACCATTGTCCATTGCAGTAAAATTATACCACTTAAGTAGTGTAATTCATTTTGTAATTTATGCCATCCCTACTTTATTCTATCCCATTCATTTCGGTACGAAGGAACCACAATGCAAAATGAGGGGGATTTAACAATTATTTGTGGAGTGAAAGCAACAACTGCAGTGAATACGTACAGCATTTGCTGGATTGATTGCTGTTCCATACATGGGACAAATAAGTGAACACAGGCAATTGTTGCTCCTGTTTCCATTTGCATCATATTTCTTCACCAAGCCTGCTTCCCAGACCCATCCGCTGCATCCAGATAAGACCATGACTGGGGGAATGAGAAAATGAGAGAGACAAAGCAGGTTTCAGCTCTGGTGAACTCTGCCAAGGTGGTTGGGCCCTAACAACTGTCAATTGGCTGCTGCGTGTTGATGCTGGATGCTGACCTATTTGGTCTACACAATGCAAAGGAATAACACGGGAGTGAGGTAGTAATGTACAGCCTTCCCCAACCTGGTGCCCGCCAGATGCTTTGGACTACAACACCCATCAGCTCTAGACAACATGAGCCAGTGGCCAGGGATGATGGAAGGGTTGATGAAGGCTGTGAGAGTAGATTCTTAATATTCCTGAGGTGTTAGAATAGATTCAACAATGTGATCTCAGTCTGCAGTTCAAAGAGGCAGATTGCGTGTTGAGACCACATTGTTGGATGGTCCTGCAAGTTCTCGCTAAGTTCATTCATTGCTGAGCTAAGTTTTTGCTTCCAGGGTTTTATATACGGTATGTGGGGGAGCATTTGAAAAACAGTATTGTTCTACCTGCAGTATGAAATGGTGCAATTTACTCTGCTGCTATGGGATCTTAGCACCTCACTCTGCTAAGAGTCCCTTTGGCCTCTAGTTCTGAGTGCTTCTGCAGATAGTCTAAAACAGGGCATTTGAAACATAAAGATGTGAAATGATATTGGACACCACTGCTTTAAAATTCAGTCTGGGAACTGAGGCCAGGAGACCGTGGCTTTAATGTGGAGCATTTCAGCTTGGTACAGCTTTTCCTTCCTCTGTAACACAAGGAGGTGACCATAAGCTGCACCTGCAGAAATTATGCCCTCTAATAGTGAACTTGGGTGGTGAGTGACAACAGGTCCCCATGAGAAACATGGGGGAGATACTGGGTTCCTCAGGGAAACCTCAAGCCACAGATTGCTGTGTTTTTGAGGGAAGTTGAGAAAATGGAATGGAGTATCATGTGAGAGGGCATGACTGGCTGGCTGGCTGGAACACTAAATAGGCACCCTGGACCCTGCAACTTTTTTGTTGCAAGCATATTGTCCCTTGTACACAACTCTATAAAAAGTCCAGGAGCCCCATTGCTGGAGGCTGTGCTGGACTCAGGAAGACAATTGTGCAGTGCTTTGCGATACCTCTCATGTGGCGAAGTTGACCATGGGAAGCTAATGGAAGCAAAGAAATTGCCTGGGAAACAGCCAGGCCTCCAGCTTATTAGCAGATATGATAGGGAAGGATTTGCGGAGCTATTTCTGGCTGGGACTAAAGGACGCTTCTTCCCAGACTGATGAGCAATACCTGTTGCCTCCCTGCAGGTTTAGCTGTGACAGGAAGAATGGAACTGTTAGGAAGAATATTAGAAAACACATTGGCTGTGAGAAGTGGAAGATTGAGTCTCCTGGCTAGGATATGTATTGGCCTTCGCCAGCAGTGTGCATTTCAGATCTTTTGGACTGCAAATCCCATCAGCCCCAGGCAGCATGGCTGGGGCTGAGGGAGATGTAGTCCAAAACATCTGAGCTCTGAAGGCTGATAAATATACCATTAATATATCTGACCCTCAGAAACAGCTAATAACAGCATTAAAACTATAATGAAGCACATTGAAACTATGTTTGCAGTGGCCCTTCAAAAGCTACCCCCCCCAACAAAGAATAAAATATAAGTCACTGTCTTTAATTGAAGGCTTCAGGTAGCCCTGGGATTCTCCATCTGGCACCCATGACCACCACAGTAATGTCACACACCATCTTGGCACTCCTAATTTTTAATTATTATTTTTTTAATTAAGTTGGGAGTTGGTTGAGTTTTATTGTTTTATTATTTGAGGGTATTCATTGGGGTATAGGTGTTTCTGCTTTGGGGGAGGAGGGGGTTCTGAGCATCCCCAGTTTTTCTTACAATAAATGATTATTTTGTAGTGCCTGTGACACTTCCTCAGATGTCCAAAGGTGCCCCGTCCCCAAGTCCCAAAAGGTTGGGGACCCCTGATCTAGCCTCTGCATTGCTCGGAGAAATAAAGAGGTCTCTTGTTTTTATATCTGCAGCATTCGCATCCAGGGAGCACATTAAATTTGCCAGAATTAGAATCACAAAGCCTTGTGAAGTTCAGAATGAGACACAGGGTGGTGTCTTAGAAAATCAAGGGTGGAACATGATGGGGTGGGGTGGCGATATACCTCTGTTATGGGTAGCGCCATAGCTGCTCAACAAAACAAGTGCTCTGTTTTAAACCTGATGAGATCAAATTTGTAGCAAAGGAACTACCCTATATCACAATCCCAAACACTAGATCTGCAGCAGTCCAGATTATCTGTTCCTCAGTTACCAGCATACAATTTCAAGGGCACCTGGAATTAGATGTGCTGTTTGCGAAGTATGTGTGTTTGCAGGTGTGGGGAAGCGAGTTACTTGGCATCTTTGCCCTCTCTAAACCTGTTTGGCAGGTGACCTTGCTTGCCCTCCGGGCAGCAGCAAGCATGTCCGAAAACTGCTTCCCATTTCCAGCTGATTGCTTTCTCTGTCTCCCTGCACTTCCTTCCTCCTTCCTTCCCCCCTCTCTCTGTCTCCAGCTCCCCTCCCCCTTTGCATGGACAATGGCTCAGTCTCTGGTCTGTTGTCATTTTAGGCTCCAAATATCCCATCTTCTCCTTCATTATTTGCTGAGAAAAGCTGCTTATGCAATCTCTGCTGTTTCTCTTTGTTTGCACGCTTGCCAGGAGGAACTACTATTCCTATTCCTATTACCCGTAAGTAATTCTCATTCACTCGCGCTCGCTCCGCTGCTCGCTGCTCCCAGTTGGTTCCCTTTCCTTGTCACATAAATGTTAAAGTACCATTTTGGGGGGCTTCAGGGGTGGGGGGAAACGGCGGCTGAAATAAAATGTAGAGACTCCGGAGGGAGGTGGGGAAGGGGTTTGACGCTGGAGGGGATCAAGACCTGGAATGCCTTTTGGAGAGGCTATATGTACCTCAAGAGAATACAACTCCCCCAGCTTCCCACCATGTTTCATTTAATGGTTTTTGCCCATCTGGAAATTAAACCTCTGCAACTGCTTATGTTGGATTCATCTCATGGAGATTAGGAGTGGGTAATATTCTTCAGCCCCATAGGCAACCTCATTTGGGGGAGCAGTGTCACATGTTGGGGTTAGCTGGGGCCAGAGGCAAAAGTGGATGGAGCAGCAAATATAGATTTTCCTTTTGTACATCAGGGTTGTTTTTACCTGCTCCGCCCAGGCAAGCAAGAGGCATTCTCAGAATCTAGAGTTCAAGGGCACATTGTAGACAGACAGAAATACCCAAGGAGAGCGGAACAAAGCAGGGTAGATGAGGGATGTGGCTTGGGAAGAGGAGTGGTTTGAGGAGAGTCCCAAGGGCCAGACAGACAGGACTAAAGGGCTGGATTCGGGGAGCCCACGCCTGACATTCCCCACCCCTAAGCTAGATATTGGTGAACTGTCGCAAGGTTGCCTTGGACTACCTCGGATTTCCAAAAGCAGAAGGAATTATTTTTCAAGCCAATCTAAAGCAAGCATGTAAGCCCTCCAGGGAACAATGTCTCCCCTGGTCCCTTGGGCCATTACTGCAGGGATGGGGAACCTGTGGCTCTCTAGATACCGTTGGTCTCCAACTCCAACCAGCCCCAGACATTATGGACACCATTCCTCCTCTCTCCCAGCTGTACACCCCTGATACTTCTGCTGCTTCCAGTGCCAGGGAAAAGAAAGGCAAAGGTCCTTTGAGGTGCTGGCAGTGAGGGCAGGCAAGGACGGGTGATGGTGGTGAGCAGCCTGCTATTCTTTTCCAACCTGAATTTTATTCCAAGCCAGATAAGTTTCCAAGGACTTGCCTCTCCTTTCAGGGAATCAAAGAAACAGTGGGCTTTGTTCCTGCTGAATATTTCCTTCTGATAGTGAAGTCTTTTCTAGCTTACACAGAAATGAACAAATCTCTTGTTAGTAAACACACATGCTTATAGATTTCTGTTTACTTATTAATTCCTAATTTAAGACCATGTTAAGATGCTTTTCACACCAGACCAGTCCCAGGGACATAATGATGCAGTGCTAGAAGAATTAAGAGTACTACGTTTTATTTCAATTTTCTTCTGAATAGAAATGGGTTATTTAAAATTGTATTCTTATTTCTATAGATGGTTAATATATTGCATAAAGTTTAATAAATAGAAATTAATAGCAATGCATTTTTTATACAGTGGAACCATTTCAAAGCCATTTGGGAATTCCTGCTCTAGACAATGATTTAACCGGTATAGAAATGTGTCCCAGTTTTAGGAAGGAGCTTTTGAAATCTGTGGCCTAGAAGCTTTGTAAATAAGAAGTTAAAAGCAAGGTGCACGGAACTAGATTCATTCCTCTCATTTATTTGCTTACAGTGTTTCTAAACTGCTTTTTAAAGCTGCTCAGTATGGTGGACCACAAAATCAGATTATAAGGAAAGGGATTTGGTTAAGTGTTAAGAAGAACACCGTGTGGCACAGGTTGTTCACAGCAGTGTAGCAGATCACCTTGAAAGGTCCGTTTCAATTTTTCATCTCTCCATTTATAAGCAGAAGCTGGATGGCTACCCATCAGGGATGCTGTATCTTCAGATTTCCTACATCTAGATGACCTTTGAGCTCACCCCCAGTTCTATGATTCTAGAATTGAATATCATGAAACCAAAGAACAGAAGTGCATCGTTTGTATCCAAATAGCTTTAGTGCAAGTGGAAGACACTTTTTCTTCTGCATGAGTTTATGCCAGTTTTCTTCTTCTCTCACAAACGAGAATACTATGATTGCTCTCCTCCTCCTCCTCCTCCTCCTCCTCCTCCTCCTCCTTTCTTCTCTCTTCTGGGTTTCACACTGGTAACAAGGAGGGGGTAGCAAAGATCCAAATAAACAAAATGAAAGGTGCAGAATTTAATTTTAGGAATTATCAAGGCTAAACCAGAATTCATGAAGTATAGAATGAAGAGTGGAGAGCGAGAACCAGGAAGCCAAAACAGGAAAGGACTGGGGAAATTTCTCCCACCCTTGCCATGAATCTCCAGATGCCTTTTCTTAGGATCTACCACAGTGTTTTGACTTTCACCTTGGCATCTTCAGTCTGAAATGCCTCCTCAGAACTGGAAGCCCTCCTTGGGAGTGCTATTATTGTTAGGAGCAATGAAAGGCAAATGATGAGGCATTGTCTCTGTGTTGGTACAGAGCTGAGCAACTTGCCTGATGTTAAAAGTCCTACACTTAAAATCACATCGGGGGACTGATCAATAGTATCGATCAGGCGTAAGTGGAGCATCACAAGGATAGACAGCGCCACAGATTCTGCTTTGTTTTGCAAGGAGGTGTCTGTGGGCTAAGTGTATTTAAAAGGGCCATGGGAGTATAAGTGGGCATTGCAGCAATTTTCCTGCACTGCCTGGGAGAGATGCTGAAAAGAAATTGGGGCAGGAGCTTCAGACCCACATTCTTGTTCATTGGAGTTGTGCTAAAATGCCAGTTAAGAGCAGAGAGGGGGGTGACACTTCATTAGAAGTTATCTATTTAAGAAAGGCCACTGTCAATATACTACTACTACTACTACTAATAAATTTATTATTGCACCTCACCCATCTGGCTAGGTTTCTCCAACCACTCTGGGTGGCTTCCAGCAGAATATAAAAACATAATAAAACATCAAACATTAAAAACTTCCCAATACAGGGCTGCCTTCAGATGTCTCTTTAAAGGTCAGCACCAACACTTTGAATTGTGCTCAGAAACACACTAGGATCCTTTAGGACTGGTGTTATATGGTCTTGGCGGCCACTCTCAGTAACCAGTCTGGATTAGTTGTAGTTTCTGAGTCATCTTCAAAGGTAGCCCCATGTAGAGTGCATTGCAGTAGTCCAAGCAGGAGATAACCAGAGCATGCACCACTCTGGCAAGAGAGTCTGCGGGCAGGTAAGGTCTCAGCCAGCATATTCCATGGGGGAGCTTTCACTTTTAATCGATCTACACCAAGGAGAATAATGGCATATAGATCTGCTGGAGGATGGATAGTGTAAGCCTGACTATCTAATAATCTCAAAATAGCTTCATTTTCTGTGGAACAGAAACATTTTTGAGTGGTCCCACATACTGGCTGCTTAGGGTGAGAAGCAGGGCAGGAGCCAGAAATTTTGTAGTGGTGGAACTTAAGGGGTGTGAAAACATGCAGAGGGATGTGTGTGTGTGTGTGTATAAAAATTTAAAACTTAGCTTTCTAACATTTTTAAAGAAGGGCTTAGGGCCATAGCCAACTAAGTTCTATTCAGAGTAGAGCCACTGAAATTAACAAGCATAAGTTAGACCCAAATGTTGGATACAGCTCCTAGAACTAACTTGCCAGATTAGATGAAGTCTCTCTCTAATCCAACCCAAATGCATCATGGGCTCTCATCATGGGCAGCCCATCAATAAGGCGAAGCCATTTGCATCAGGCAGCAGGTCCAACCCCTGCTGCTGCAATGGCACTGCTGCCAGCCCCACTGGGGTTTTGCCTGTGCCACCACCGCAGTGCCATTGCCCTCCCTGCTGCATCAGCTGCACCATTGCCGCTGCATCATGGCGGCAGTGCAGCTGCAGGCAGGGGCGCAATCAGGAGGGGGGCCAATCCACCCACCCACCCATTTTTTTCAAGGAGGGGGGTGGGTGGTTCCCCCTCAAAATTCTGTGGCTGTCATGCATATGCAATGTGCATATGCCATGCAACATGCTCATGTCACAGCTCTCCCCATAGCTGTCAACATTTCCCATTTCTTGTGAGGAATCCTATTCAGAATAAGGGAATTTCCCTTAAAAAATGGGAAACGTTGACAGCTATGGCTCTCCCCCACTCTGCCCACTGCTACTGACCCCAAAACTAGCATGGGGGGGGTTTGTGGTGAACATGGTAGCTCTCTCTCTCTCTCATACACACACACGGTGGAGAATACTTGCAGCAATTCTGCTAGGTGGCCTTTTTCTAGTGGGATTGGGGGTGGGGAGACAAATATCAAAACATTTATCAGGAGAGATTTGGGCTTGGCTCTAATTACATGGATGCAATACCTGAGCAACTGGGGAGCTTGATGCCTTGATTGCTGTGTGATGCCTGCCCATGACAATGTAAGAAGCTTCCCCTGCAACCAATGTTCACGAGCCTCTCGTCATCCTCCTACCTGTAGAAGTTTGAAAAATGTACCTATTGGGAAGCCCCAGTGTGGACCTCTTTGTCTGACGTGTGCCTGCTTTCCTCCTTTGTGATTTTGTGCCAGGAAACCAGTGAACATGGCCAAAGCGACGATCAACTACCGCAATGAGAAGACACACATGATGAGTGCAATTGATCGAAGCTTTACGGACCAAAGTACCCTGCAGGAAGATGAGAGGCTGGGCCTGTCCTTCATGGACACACACAACTACAGTAACAGAGGTAAGTTCCAGGCAAGCAGCTACAGGGAGTGACTTGGCGTTTACGCTCTGTGCTTGAACCACATAGACCAATGGGATTGGTGCTCAATAACAACATTGGTTTTGCTTAGATTACAGCCAACGTTTCTGCCCATAGTACCTTGCTGCAAGCAGTTCACAGATGCAGTAGAGAGGTATCTTGTTTGGCTTCTGTGGGATGTTGGACCGTGTAACCACACAGGGGCAGCCACATCGTACAGGGTGGGGGAGAAAGGGGACACTTGATTCCCCTTGGCTGAATCCCAGCAAGGGGGTGTGGTGTCCCTTCCCACCATTTTGGAAAGTCCACTGTTATTCAACAAACTCTGAAGAGGAAGAGAGAGGGTCATGTTGCATGCATCCCATAACTGATATGTGCAGGGTGACTGAAGGACAGTCTTGTTGTTGCCCAGCCAGGTGTATCTGGTTGGAAATTATGGGTTGTACCACTCTTGAGAGCCAGTGTGGTGTAGTGGTTAAGAGCGGTAGTCACGTAATCTGGGTAACCGGGTTCGTGTCTCCGCTCCTCCACATGCAGCTGCTGGGTGACCTTGGGCCAGTCACATTTCTTTGAAGTCTCTCAGCCCCACTCACCTCACAGAGTGTTTGTTGTGGGGGAGGAAGGGAAAGGAGATTGTTAGCCGCTTTGAGACTCCTGAAGGGGAGTGAAAGGCGGGATATCAAATCCAAACTCTTCTTCCAAACTCTTCTTCTTCATCCAAAGATCGCTGGGCGGTTACACATGCACATGTTTGTGTGGTTGTTTCAAAACTGTTTTCTATGTTGAAACCTGCCCTGTGTCTTTTTTTTTTAAAAAAAGTAAAGGGTAGGTAATTAATCTGATGTTGAGTAGGAAGAAGTGGAGGACCTTTGTCTCATCAGGGACATCTTCTTATTCAGGCTCCCTCTGACCTATTTAAGGCTGTAGCAAACCCATTCTGAGTTAATTTAAAATAAGAGAGATGACGGGAGAGAGAGTATCTGCAACACAGGGGCTATAGCCACATGAGTCATGTGGGTACTTGTCGCCCTCTGGGATATTCCCAGAATAGGAGGAAGTGTTTAAGCCCCTGGCTCATTTGCAGTCCTCCAAATTATGGTTTCGAGGTGTGCCTGAAGGCACCAAGTGAGTTTCATTTTGTTATAGAAGATTCAGATTTCATTTTGTTATAGAAGATTCAAGCAGAGGCTTGACAACCATATGTCAGGAGTGCTCTGATGGTGTTTCCTGCTTGGCAGGGGGTTGGACTCGATGGCCCTTGTGGTCTATTCCAACTCTATGATTCTATGATTCTATCACCCTGGAGCTCTGTGGCTTCATGCTCTGGACTTTGCCACAGGATACATCATCCTAAACACACAATGCCCCACGGTATCATGATTTAACCTTCATAGTCAAGTACTCCAAGGCAGGCTGTAAGTGCTTTGAGATTCCAGGCAAGCCCTCCTAGCCACCTCTGGATTTTGGTTTCTGTCTGGAACCAGTGGAAGTTCCAGAATTATATTCCCAAAATGCTATGGTGCTGGAAGGAAGAAAACACGAATGCTTATACAACAGACATTTACTTCCCCTATAGTCATTTTCTGCAAAAGCATAAACACTAAGAAAATGAGTGTTTGCTGTTTGAAGGCGTTATGTTAAAGCATTTGTGGTGTGGATTGTTTGTAGGTTTCAGACTGGGCTTGAATGGCAGTGTTTAGTTCTCAAAACGAATCCACAGAAGTACAGGTTTCAAAGTGCTCTATCCAGACAACTGTATTCCAACGTCTTGCTTTACAGTCTTGGGGTCAAATAATGGATTGGCCTAATGGGATTAAGAACAGCCACTGCTGCAATTTTATTCTTTTTCTGATGCAACTTTCAATGGGCACATCTTTGCTAAAAATAGAGCTACATGCTCTCTGTCCTTTGAATGTGCTTGGTGCTGGCTTGCCTCTGACCCACCTGATTTCCATTTGTTTGATTTGACCGTGACTGAATGTTTAAAAATCACAGGCAGTAATCTTATTTGAAATGCTTTGGTATGGTTCAGAGAAGAGGATCTTTATGGTTCCCTTCAGTTCCCATTGCAGTAGGATTCTGAGTCTTTGCTAGCTTGCATACGGTTGTAAAGGTAAAGGTAAAGGGACCCGTGACCATTAGGTCCAGTCATGGCCGACTCTGGGGTTGCAGCACTCATCTCGCTTTATTGGCTGAGGGAGCCGGCGTACAGCTTCTGGGTCATGTGGCCGGCATGACTAAGCCGCTTCTGGAAACACCGTTTACCTTTCCACCAGAGGAAGGTATCTACTTGCACTTCGACGTGCTTTCGAACTGCTAGGTTGGCAGGAGCAGGGACCGAGCAATGGGAGCTCACCCCGTCGCGGGGATCCGAACCACCGACCTTCTGATCGGCAAGCCCTAGGCTCTGTGGTTTAACCCACAGCGCCACCCGTGTCCCTTGCATATGGTTGTAGATTCGCCTAAACCAGGGATGGTGAACTTGTGGCCTTCCCAACTCCTATCAGTCCCGTGAACGATGGTGGGAGCTGTAGTCTGGCAGTATCAAATAACATAAAGGTATAAGAAAAGCCCTGCTGAATCAATCCAAAAGCCCATTTCGTTCAGCACTCTGTTCTCACAGTGGCCAACCAGACGCCCATGAGAATCTAGAAAGCCATGGGTTCCTCAGCCTACACTTTGGCTCCCTTATCTTGTCCTCCAAAAATCTGCTCTGCATTGAGACTGAGACTAATCAATGGAGTTTGCTAGTGGTCTGAACCCATAGTTATAACCTCACCTGGCTACCTAGTAACCACCTCCCAGCAAGAGACTGGAATTCAGAGCACTGGAATTGTGGTTCCCATCTTGAACATGGCCAGGCATATTGAGGAACCATACTGTATCTGAAGAAGTGTGCATGCACACGAAAGCTCATACCAAGAACTAACTTAGTTGGTCTTTAAGGTGCTACTGGAAGGAATTTTTTTTGTTCATACTGAGAATGTTTGCCCTATTTCTTCCAGCCTCGCAGCATCTGCTCTTTAATGCAATGCAACCCCCCCGCCCCAGTCAAAGCTGCAGCTTTGGGATTGGGATGGTCATGATGTCACAGTCCCTGCGATTCTTGGGAGCCAGTGCAAATATGGTCCTTAGTGGAGAGGATGTCCTACTTCTTGCAGTGACCTTTATTAGCAGTGCTGCAACATACCTGCAGACACACCCGTGCTGCACTTTGTCTACCCTGATTTTCCAAGGTTCTGTATTATGCAATAAACTTTCAGGAGCACAGGGAGATCCCTCACTGTAGCTGCCCTTTGCCTTGTGGCAGACAGGAATGGCACAAGGGGCATGGAGCTAGCCTGCTCGTCCCTGTGCCAACCACCGTCCTCCATATGTGAGCATGGCACAAGCTAGATACAAACCCAAGAGCAAAGTGCTCTGTCCGGAAACCAGTATATAAATGTAGCAACTAACAAACTAAAATGGATATCCTTGTATTTTCCTGGGGCTGATTTTTTGTTGATTTCTGATTGCGGCCGAGCTGTTGTGAACATTCAAGAGTTAACGCGGCAGAGCCTCCACGTTAGGCCGAGACTGATAATTTCACACCGGTGAATGCATTTCTATGCTGATTTAGTTGTAAAGTAATTCTTTCTGTGCCCCAGTTTCAGCCATATGCTAATAACACCTGCTATTGGAACTTCAAGATGCTGCCTTGCTCACATCTTTCCTCTGCAGACTACAAGATTAATATGGTTTGTACCATTGTCTCACAGACAATAGAAGCCCAGAGGGCAAGAGTTTCCCTGTTTTATACATCTCCGCAGGACTATTATTTTATTTTAGTTACTGCACCATTTCAGTTTCTTAGAATGCTCTTAACAAGACCAGTTTGTATGAACAATTTGTCTTCTGCGAGCATCTGAAAGAGCTTTCGGCCCAAATTTGCTGCTATTGCTTTCCATCTATTGAAGGCAATGGAATGGTGCTTGCTTTGACTGGCAGTGGGTTTAACCTTGTTCTTGGGAGGCCCTGTGGAAAAGGGAGTTTTCCAAAGCAATTGCCAGGGGGCTGCAGCCTCTTTCTACATGTACCCACATAAAACAAGAGCTCTGCCCTGACTTTCACACCAGCATTAAACTTAGAAGCTCCTGATATCAGCTGATCAGGGGTGGACTTTGGTAATATGGTGCCCTGAACAAGGATGAAATTTGGCTCTCCCCCCCAAAGAAAAAAATAATATTCAGTATTTTCACAGTAATTCATTCTGGTACAGTTGCTTTTTATGGATTTTCTCAGTAGGTTGGCTGTTAGCACCTGTGTTGAGAGACAAAAGAATGCCAGGGTGAAGTCCCCATTAGCAGGACTGAAACAATCTTCCCCGGGCTCAAGCCAGGGCAATGTATATGGAGGTCCTGGGCTACCCAGATGACAAGATCCCCCTCTTAACCTCATTGATGTGGTCCAAGGGAAAGCAGAGCAAGATGTTTGGCACCAGCTTGGCTGCTGGAGTTGCCGGAAGGAAGTGTAAAAGGCACCACCCAACCATCTTAGGGACTCCACTCTGGATTTTTGCTGGGTTTTCCCTCCTTTTCCCCGCCTGAATATATCCCACAAGGCAGCAGAGATTTAGGACCAGAGTTTTCCTTCTCCTAGATGGGCTCCCTTCCCAGGTTGATGAACCCCAACTGCCCCTCACTTCCCTCTTCAGCATGTGCAGAAACCGCCTTCTGGGCGATTGGACCCAATGTTGGTCTCATCCGCTCAATCTGCAAGTGCCTGTCTTTGCTTGCAGAGGAAGTCCCAAACTCGCTGAGGGTTTGAGACCCATCGGCTGCCCTCACCTGGTTTAGCTGACCAGTTGAAGCCATTCCCCCTAGGTTCAGCAGGGGAATCACCTGCACCATCCTAAATCTGGTGTTGTGACTTTAAGGCAGCAATGAAGATTTGGCACACAGTGACACCAAGGCGATCATTTGCCCACAGTCTGTCTGGGGGCTTTGTAGAAGACTGGCATCTGTTCCCATTTGAAAGTCTGAAGAAGTCCTTACTCTGAGTGGCCATTCAGACTGGGCCTAGAGCAAGGATGGGGAGGCTGCGTCCTCCAATTTCTGCTGGAGTACAACTCCCATCATTCCTGACCATTGGCCATCTTGGGTGGGACTGATGGGAGTTGGAGTCCAACAATATTAGGAGAGCTTTGTCTTTCCCACCACTGCCCTGGAGGCCAAGAAAATCAGCAGTGACAGCAGTAGCAGGAGAGAAATGGAGCCACTCAAGAAAAGGTGCCCAGCAGTAGCACAGGCCTTTATGCCAGTGGTGGGGGACCTGTGGCCCTCCAGATGTTGTTCCACTCCAATTCCTGCCAGCCCCAACCAGCATGACCAATGGTAAGAGAAGATGGGAGATGTACTCCAGCACTCTCTGGGGGCCAGAGCTTCTCCACCTCTCTTATATGCGTCCACTCAGAAGCAAATCTCATTTAGTTCAGTGGGGCTCCTTCCCAGGTAAATGTTGTATAGGATTTCAACCCCAAAACACCCTGTCCAGCCTTGCTCCCCCTCAAAATGGAGCTTGTGGCATTTTAATCAGCAGTGAACAACTACTCCTAACTAGGTTTGTTTAAAGCCCATGATTTATTTATTTGTTTGCCTGGGAAAGCATGTGCAAGCTAAGATACATGCATAACGCTGTGTTCCTACCCCAGGGAAGCTCTGAATGGCTCATTTCCCAGAGATTGGGAAAGGCTAATTTTCCTGGGGAATAAGACATTTGCCACGGCTTCTGTTGTTGCGGTAATGGTTTCTGCATGCTATCTGAGCCCCCTTGTGCACATCACTCTCATACAATTTCCTTTACATGCTTGCCCGATACATCTCTGTGGGCTTTTAATTACCAAATGCACATGTTGCCTTCTGGAAACCGCAAGCAAAAGGGCAAGGAGGGAGGCTATGTGGTGACATTTGCCCAGAAGATGAATAGATGCTGGAGCTGTAGGATTGAGCCCAAAAGGATTATTATGATGAAATGTTGTTAGGGCAACTACTTCAAGAACTCTGCCATGCAGGGGAGTTGCGACTTGAGCAGAGCTCACCGTACAGGATAATGCTCTGAAAGAGAGAGAGAGAGAGAGAGAGAGAGAGAGAGAGAGAGAGAGGCACTAAGTGAGATGAAGAGAACTTCAGGATACAGGAGGTGTGCAAGTATCAAGAGAATTTAGCAACATTAAGATGCATTCCCAGAATTACTTAGTGCACATTAGCTGTCTTGAACATTGCTTAACTACCCTGCCCAACTTTAAATGAGAGTGAATTTCCAGGGGAAATAGAGGAAACAAGGATTCTAAACAGTGATGCCACTGAAGATTAAAAATATCAGGCTCCAAATATGGATTTATGATTTTGGGGGGGATTCTGAATACAAAAGTACACAATACATACCATATTTTATGACGACATCGCCTGCCTCTCTCAAAATGGCCTATGGCTCATGTTCAAATAAAGCCTAATGACCAAAGATTTGTATCCACCAGGAGCTATGCATTTAGTACTGTGGGCCCAATTATACAGAACTTTCTTTCAATTGAGGACAGACAACTAGAAGCTCCCTACTGAGTTTCTGGTGTCTACTAAATACCCCTTTTTTATTATTCCCACCAACATTTTGACTGAAGTCTGATTTCAGAGTTTTAACAGATTTTTATTTGTATTGTATATTTTGTAAACTGCATAAATACAATGGTTGTTAAGCAGTATGTAAATAGTTTAAATAAATAAAATAATCACATATACTTCAAGAAGAGGGCACGCACAATGTAAGTGTAAACACCCTCAGCCTTACCATTTTGGAGTTGGGAAGGCCTGCCTTGTTTACAACAGTGCCTTATCTTGCTGCTGAGCTATATATGCATACTGGAAAGCACCTACACATGTGCAATAACTGCACATTTAGAACTCTCAGCAAATATCCCCCCTTTTTTCAGTGTTTTCCAATTCTACTCATAATTCCTGTGTTGTTTCTGAATACTGCTGAAGGCAGTTTGCCCTTCTCTAATTCTAATTTGGCTTAATGAATGTGAATACAAAACCAGGAAGGGTCTTTGTGTGGCCTAGGGAGAGCTTTATCCCTAGGGAGGTCCCTTTGCTGTATAATTGGTTTAAAAGCCCTGGTCTACCTTGTTGAGAGAGATGTTGAGTTAATTCCACTCAAGATGAGTGGACCTCATTGACATCAGTAGCATCATATTACTGCCATTACCAGAGAGATCAGTACTTGATCCCAGAGAAGAAATTGCATTTGTGAACATCTCCATTAATTTTCTATTTTTCAAAAAAAACAACCCACTTTTAAAAAATGATATTTTACCAACACAAACATTTGTACAAGTTATTTTGAACCGATCACTGGAGAAAAGAGACAAAATGGCTGGAGTATATTCAGGGTTTTTTCTTTTTTAATGATTTTTATTTGATTTTACAAATTCATTCACACACAAAATCACAAATTATAAAAATTACACAAGATTCTTCCAAATCTCTAGACTTCCCTCCTCCCCTCCATGGGTTCCTTAATTAACCTTTTCAACTACATACTATAAATCCTCCTAATTTTCTAGTCCTCCATTGTATCAAAAGTCTCTGTAACATTACAAGAGTTATTTAAGACCTGCCAAAGAGTTCAAGTGTTTATAGTGGTCTGTCAAATATAGTATAAATTTCTCTCATAATTTGTTGAAGTTTTGATCCTCCTGATTTGATTTTCCCAGTCACTCTTGCCATCTCTGCATAGTCCATTAATTTAATCTGCCAGTCCACTCTGGTAGGGACTTTATTGTCTTTCCAGCTTTGGGCAAGCAGCATTTATTCAGGGTTGTCTGGTCCTCACATGCTTTAAAGCAGTACTTTTCAAAACCTATCCAGTAGCATGTGCACCACCAGCAGAACAGCACTGGTTTAAAGCCATCAGTTTTTAATATAGTTGGACCAATGTCCAAGCTGAACCATGCTCACGAGCAACCAGGTCTCCCTTCCTCTTTCCAGTAGAAGCCGGCTGTGCAGAGTTCTGATTAGCTGTCTCTTGCGACAATCATGAATTTGTTTCAATCCCAACTCCCTGTTTGGCTGTGCAGGGTACTGATTGGCTGCGCCTTGTAGAAAACCATAAAGCACAACTCCCCCTGTCCTTCCCTTAACAGCATTGTTTCAAGTTAAAATAAAATAAGCTTGTATGTGTGTGTGGAATTCGCCAAGTAGGGATGGGGGGGGGATTCAATTCAGTTCGCATTGAAAGGTGAACCTACCAAATTCACATTATCTGAAACAAGATATGAACTTGGTTGTCCTTCAAAATTTGAACTTTTCTGAATTTTGCAGACCCAGAAAAGAACCTTAGGGGCATAGCAGGTCATCTGAATGTGGTGCAATTGACCAAGTACAGTCAGATTTTCAGGACCTTGGACAGCCCCACACAAGCAACTTGCTCCAAGTTCTGCAGTCCCCAATGAAACCTTTGTGTTCTCAGTCTGTGCTATCACACTCAAGCCTCACCTTTGTTTTTGTTTTCCCTGGAGACTAAGTATCTTAAATTATTATCTAGCACTCCAACTCATTCCCCCAATTTATTTCCTAGCTTGTTGTTTGCATCAGTGATCCAGCGGCGAGGAGCAGGGAGTTCCAGTGGGGAAGATGGTTGCTTGTTTGGGAACCGCAGTCTATGGGGATACCTGTTCAGGGGAACATGGAAATGCTCTGGCTCAGAACCAGTGTGGAGACCAGCTCTTCTGTGATCTTTGCCACTGGCTTTTAAGATCTGGCTGTGCCCTTGTCTAAGTTGGAGTGTGAGCTACTGCCCAGGGTAGGTGGGTGAGGTCATAGCAGTCTGCGGCAAAAAATCTGAATGCAGTAGAAGTATTATACTATTTAGGTCAACTGTGTGGACCTGCAGCCCTCCAGACACTGTTGAATGACAACCCCTATCATCCCTTGCCATTGGCCATGCTGGCTAGAGCTGATGGGAGTTGTCATTCAGCACTGACTGTACCCAGACCTGCATAGCTTTATAGAGGGACTTGTGTTGGTTCCTGTTGTTCTCTGGATTCTCTGGATTCCCGCCTCTCTGTCACACCTTGTCTTATCATTCCCAGGTGACCAGCGCAGCAGTGTTGTCAATGAGTCCAGCAGCTTGTTAGGGGGTTCCCCTCGACGGCAGTGTGGGCGCAAAGGCTCCCCCTATCACACCGGGCAGCTCCATCCTGCCGTCCGAGTGGCTGATCTTCTCCAGCACATCAACCAGATGAAGACAGCAGAAGGCTATGGCTTCAAACAAGAGTATGAGGTGAGAATTTGGCCCCAGGCTCTACCAAATTCATAATCCCTGATAGTGATATGTAAAGCCCACTGAACTTGAAAATGAGAAAGTGAGAGAAACATCCCTGTTTTGAACCCTGACCCTCCAGAATTCTGCACATGGGTAGAATAACCCACTCCTCTCTGATCCAGATATTTGCCTACAGTTCACAGAGGGCAATGAGGAGGTTGGGGACTAGCACCCTGGTCCCCACTCTCCCTTATGCCATTCTAATAAGGTGGGGGTGATGGGCAGGGAGATTAGAACACCCAAATTGAGCTCTAGATATCTGGAATTCCTGTGTTGCTATGGCATGGTAACCAAGATGCTGGCTTAGCCTGGGGAATTCAAGGGGAGTTTCTGTCTCCCGGCTCCTTTCTTCTTCTTCTTTTCTGAAAGGACACTGTGTCCCTAAACCACAACATCACCTCTTATGCCATATCAAAATGGAACATGTGCAGCCCCTCTGCTTTGCGACACTGTCAGAACAATATGGTTTATGTTTCCCGTGGGACATGCCTATTGAAGGTCCCTCCATTCTCTCTGCCAAAAAATATTACTGTCTCGTGTTCAATTGTTTCGGATGTCTGAGACACTCGCTCCTCTCCAATATTATGAATTTGACAAACCTGAGCTAGTCACAATAATTAGGGCACCTTGAAAAGCTGTTGTATATGTTCCAAACCAGTCATTTGAAAGGCACTTGGATATTAGGAACAAGCAAGGCAACATATCATTTTCTTCCACTTTCTCTTTTTTGCTCATAGCAGCGGGGCTGCTGTTATTTCACGTGCGCACAAGAGGCTTGCAAGTGTGTGTGTGCGTGTGTGTGTGTGTGTGCGCCACGCACACACACACAGTAGCTCTGTGTAATAACAGGAAATAAAGAAGCATGGGAAACAGAAGTTTCCATAATCTGGGGGGGCGAGGGGCGGGAGGGAATGAGTCATTTCTGCAGGGAGGGAGAATACAGATGTAGTGGAATGAATCCACTTTAAAAGTGCCCCCTTGGGGAATCCCTTTAATGAAAATAGACATTGATGAAAATATATTTCCACCCTACAGTGATATATCTATATCTGTGTGTCTATCTATCTATCTCGATCTCGATCTCTATGTGTGTGTGTGTGTGTGTATATGTATGTATATATATATATATATATATATTGCCCCTTCAAAATATTTATTCCAGGGTGGTTTACAATGTAATTTAAAGCAAAACAACAATAAACCATACACTAAGCCAATTAAAAGTAATAAACGCCGCATAATCAGCGCAGTGCAGACATTAAACTCGCAATTAAGGCAGCAAAGTAAAAACTTCAGTTCGAGGGTTTGTAAATGTAGCATCCTCTCGACACAATGGCTGCTGCTGCTACCTGAGGGATGCAGTTTGGAAGCTAGCAGTTCTGGTCCTGAAATGTGCGGTCCATAGGGTCTTGGCTTTTGAAAATGTAGATCTTCCTAAGGATCAGACCCAAATACCTATCTAGTCTAGCTTTATGCTTCCACAATGGCCAATCAGATGCCTCTTCTGAGATGGTACTTGCCATCTGTAGTTTTCCTAGCACCTGTATTTTAAAAAAGAATCTCTCTCTCTCTCTCTCTCTCTCTCTCTCTCTCTCTCTCTGTCTTCATCTCAAACCCTTGGTGAGTTAGGCTCTGGCAGATTGAGCAGACAAGACCAAGAGTGGGCCCAATGGTCAAGCGGGTGGTTTCTGAGGATGTGACTCACCCTTGATTCTGAGATCTGTGGGTGACTCCCCTGTAGGTGACTCCTGTTCTGCCACCATCCTGGAGCATGCAACTATTGAACCAGTTATGGGCCCTTTAAGGATTTCCCAAATGGGCAGAGACACTGCAAGAGGAAAGCCTTGCTAGCCTCCTGAATCAGCCCAAAGGCACATCTATCCATTGTCATGTTCTCACAGTGGCCAGTCATAGAATCATAGCATTGTAGAGTTGGATGGGCCCTGGTGGTCATCTAGTCCAACCCCTGCAATCAGGAATATGCAGTTGTCCCATATGGGGATCGGACCTGCAACGTTGGCATTATCAGTGCCATACTCTAACCAACTGAGATCAGATGCCCAGAGGCATTTATTCCCCTGCTGAGGGCTGCATTTCTTCAAAGGTAATCTGTTGGGGTCCATGTTCCAACTGTGGACGGAGCCAAAGCCAAGAGTGGATGGGACCACTTCTTTCTCTGCCTCTCTCCACCCCTTTATTTCTCCCTTCCCCAACATGCAGGTAACTGGAGTTGGGATAGAGATCCCTCTTGCCATTTATGCAGAAATTAATTTTAGGGCCACATGCATTGGAGGGGGTTGGACTAGATGACCCTCAGGTCCCCTCCCAACTCTTATAATTCTGTGAAATTAGACTGAGTGCTGCTACACATTACTCACCTCTGCTTCAGATGCTGTACAGTGGTACCTCAGGTTACATACGCTTCAGGTTACAGACTCCACTAACCCAGAAACAGTGCTTCAGGTTAAGAACTTTGCATCAGGATGAGAACAGAAATCGTGCTCCGGCGGTGCGGTGGCAGCAGGAGGCCCCATTAGCTAAAGTGGTGCTTCAGGTTAAGAACAGTTTCAGGTTAAGTACGAACCTCTGGAACGAATTAAGTACTTAACCCGAGGTACCACTGTACTTGACTGCTCTGTGGTTGGCCACAATATGGATTCAGCTTTCTTGACCCTCTGTGTGCACGTTTGTTTGTTTTTATAAAAAAATGTGGGTCATCTAATATTTTAATGCAGATCATCTTAATATTCCCAAAAGATATGTGCCCCTCCTTCTGCCCTGGTCATTCATTGGGGAAGCCACTGTGAGCAGCTCACCTAGGCAGTGGGTCTTGATGCTGTATGGTAGAGCCCACCCCTAGGGGAGCATCCGGTATCTGTGCTGTCAAAGGAAATTATGTGTGCTTGTTCCCCAAGTATTCTTTATGCAGATAATAGACTTCTGTTCCTCCTAGAGTTTCTTTGAAGGCTGGGATGCTTCAAAGAAGAAAGACAAGACCAAAGGGAGACAGGATCACATGCCAACCTGTGAGTGTCAGAGACAAAAGTTCTTTAAAAAAAAAAATCCACAAAGAAGGGAAAAATCAATCTCCTTCTTTCATTTTGGATGTTTGAACGCCCCAAAACTCTCCAGCGTCTGGAAAGTATGCATTTGGGTTGTGGTTTGCAGGCATCTGAGGACTGTCAAATGCACAGCAGAGGTTGCATTTTGCTCCAATCTGGGTTCAGTTTTGCAAATGCAGCCACTTCATTATAGCCTGCAGACTTCAGATCTTTGCACCTCGGGAGGATTCCATTTAGTTTGAGACGTGTCATTCCTTTGCCTGGAATTAAATATGTCACGCAAGTTGCTAGGGGAGGCTTTGTGGGCTGGAAAGTCGGTTGCAGCCGGATAAAATTCTGCCTGGCAGGAGGAGAGGGCTGGGAGCGTGACGTGACCTCAAAACTCTGAAGGGAATAAGTGCAGGTGCTCGGGTAGCATTTACTTATTGAGAGCAGTGTTGCATAGTGGTTAGAGTGGCAAACTAGGACCCATGAGTCTAGGATTCAGGTTCAAATTCAGCCAGGAACCTTTGGCTAGTTAGTCTCTCTCAGTGCAACCTAACCTCAGACAGGGCTGTTGTGCAGGGGGAAGTAACCGTAGAGATGAAGTTTCAGTTAGTGTGAAATAATATGGTAGCATGGGCCACCCATTTGATTCTGTACCAAATACAGGCTGTGAGGAACAAAGGAGGCTGCTTTATACTGAGCCATTGGTCCATGTAGCCAGGGGGTTCCAAAGTGTACGTGCTGTCATGCTAAAAGATCTACCGTATTTCCTACAAAGGCAGAGCAGGGATTTTGTGGCACCCGTGACACTTGCCAGTTCTGCAGATCAAAGCAGTCAACTAGGCATATATAGGGTTAGGTGATCTCACAGGTAAACTGGTGCCAGGGTTTATATTTTAACAGTTGCACCTGGTGTGCTCTGTGGGTCAGCATTGGCAAAATGTTCCTAGTGTAGTGTTGTTTAGGATGTGCTCAAACTGCCCATTGTTGTTTGCTGCCACCACTGAGTGAGTCAGCTGGGCCCATCAATGGAGAAGAGGCTACATCAAAGGGCTCTTCCCTCCCTTAAACCTCACACCTGAGTGTGATAGCATTCCGCTGCAACATTTCAAATACTTGTCAACTGTTCAAGAAGTCCGACACATGGTTGCATGGTGTGTCTGTCTGTCCGTCAGAGAATGTAGAGTTTGGTGGTCGGGAGAGTTTTGGAAAGAGTTGAATGAGTAACCGGGGACATCCCCCTCCACAGAACAGAGGGGGAAGCTGCAATTCACTTGGAATCTGTGCTGTAAAATAACTCCACTAAAGACTGGTTTGCCTCTGCAACACCATCCTAGCCAACTATTTTTACCGCTTCTAATTATAGCCTCCCATTCTCTGCATTTTGCAAATTGAAATTTCATGTGAACATGATGACAAAAACGAGAGCTAATTGTTCAAAACAGCTTAGTGGGAGCCAAACTCAGATTCCACCCCATTCCCCAACCAAACGTCACAATCAGGTGTCAGGCAGGGCCAACCCACCCATGAGGCAAGGTGAGGTGACTGCCTCAGGCGGCAGAATCCACAGGGGCAGCAGACCTGATGTAGATCTTTATTATCCCATGGTTCCTGACGCAGATCTTCACTGACCCCTCCTTCCTTGGCAGAGAGGGAGGGTGCCATTTTGCGGTCTGCCTCGGGTGCCCAAATGTCTTGGGCTGGACCTGATCACTGGGATCACTGCATAAGAAGCTCTGGGAAGTAAGCTGCCCATTGACTGCACTCTGCACTGAGGCAGTTCCATCTTTCTGCCCTGCATGGAGCAAAGCTGTCTGTCTCATCCTAATGTTGCCCTTTCCTCAACTCTTCTACCATCATGGTGTCAGTTGGTATGCAGCAGATGTCTTCTTTGGGTGGTGACATGTGTTCTGGGTCACTGGTCTTCTGCTGGTGGGTCATGACCCAAAACTACATCATGGCCTGATCTAAGGTGAATCACAACAGCAGCGCTACCATCATACGAATAGAAGGTAAAAGTTAATAAGTGGGTCCCCAGAATGCATATGTGGGTTAAAGGTGAGTCTCAGGTCTGAGACTAGTACTCTAGGTAACATCTGATCCACCATATCTCAGGTAACCATGATTTTACAGTCAAATGCATTAATTTTGCAGAGTTTGTTAATGTAGAGACGAGAGATTTATTCAGGATCAGTGTAGCTGGCTGGAGGTGTAAGAACTGAGGCTGCCAGTTGATCAGTGAATTGATTAACAAATGAATGCATAAATTCAATCAGAATAAATGGTGATATGAATATAGAACAGCCATTTTGAAGGGGGAAATGCATTCTTTGTTTTTATTTTTTTTAAAAAATCATTTTTATTTGATTTTACAAATATAAGGCATTCTTCATTTTTAGATGAAGTATTCATGCATCTTGAATAGATGCATTTCCTCTATTCCCAATGTTCAGACTGTGAGTGCTGCTGTTTGTAGCGTCAAAATGGCACCTCCCACCCCTAAGGTATCACCGGGCTTGGGGAAACACTTAAGGTTTGCAAAAGTCTGGAAATCTGGTGGTGAAACCAAAGAGGGGCCTCAAAAGCAGCACAAAGAGTTCTAATGGGTTCAGTGTGTAAGGAATGCTTGAGGAAGAGGATGAAGAAGTATAGTGAAGGGGGCTGGCAATGGAATAGCGTGGCTGGATTTCTGAACAGGAGCACCATGCATTGCAACCTCCAGCAGAAGTTGGTGGCAGGGCCATCTTACCCATAGGTGCTAGGGGTGTGGGGCACCTGGGCGCCGGGTTCTCAGGGGTGGCAGGCTGAGAGTTCAGGATCCGAAAGTTGAATCCAGGGAAGAGCCTGCCCATTGGTCGGAGCGCCACAGTGGGTTCTTCTGCTGCGGGCGTGAGTTCGGGGGCAACCAAGCCAGTGAGACACTGAGGCGGCCGGCCGGCTCCGCCCTCCTGTGCTCATGGGACTAGGCAACCTGGGGGGGTGGTCCCGCCGGGTGGATCTTTGCATCCCAGTGCCGCATATGCTTAAGACAGCCCTGGTTGGTGGCATGAGGTGGGTGGGGTGGCATTGCTCACCTGGCTTCCCAACACAAAGCATCCATTCGAGTTGCCGAGAGGGAGAGGAGCAAGGGGGCAAGGAGCTTGGCATGGGGCAAGCTCAGCAGTGAGCCAATCCAGCACTCCTGCCACTGTGCCTACACTGCACTCCCTGCTGCCTCCTCTTCTCAGTAACGAGCAGTGACTCTGGGCATTGGAAAGCAGGTGAGCATCACCACCTCACCTGCAGCACCCCACTGACTGCTACTGCAATATCTTCTTTTAGATCCCACTTTTTTATGTCTGAAGAAGCATTCCCTCCTTTGCGAGAGATAGGAGAAAGGAAATGCTGCTTCGAAAGGGCATCTGCTGCCCCCAAATTTGCAAGTACATCCCTTAAAATAATAATAATGCAGGTTTTTTGTGTGGGTTCTTTTAAATAGAAAAAAACTGCTGCCTGATTAATTGGAGAAAGCTTTTAAAAAGCTCAGTAGATTTTTCATTGCTTGATCAATTGTTTAAGCATTGCAGCCCTGGTATGCCTGTTCTTTAAATCTACCTTAAATCAAAGCCTTGATCTCAGCTACATTGTGGCAAGCCTTGAGGAACTTCTCAGGTACCTATTGTGGCTTTTGCAGGGAGACTGGAGAATTCAATCAGTAAAGCTTTTGACATTGTTCTGTGTGGCTAGGGAGCCAAAAGGCCTTGGATTTAAAAAGAAAAGAGCAAAAGAATGTGAAGCTTGTGGATTCTGGCCAAACCCCACAGGCAGGCTGAGATGTGGAGGAGCGCAATAATGGCTACAGGTTAGAAGAGAAGGACATCTTTTCTGGAGTTCTGTGCCTGACGACCAGAGCTCAATTAGCACCAAGGCAAATTGCAATTGTGGGTCACTGTAGGAAGAATCATGTTCAAGACTGCAGGAACTCAGTTGTAATGTACACCAGGCAGGAACTCTCTGTGCTGTACACCCAGGTTTCAGAGTCCTGGTAGAATGACACTAGGGCTTGTAGCCTGAGTTTGAGTTGCACTGTTGGAGTCTGATGTAGCCACTGTCCAGTAAGTGACTGGAAATTTAAAAGGAAAAGCACCTTGAACTTACGAAATGGGGAGTCAAAAGATTATGGTCACTCAGTGGCTATTCTGCCTGTCCTGGACTGAGAGTCCTATCTGATTTTGTTTCCAGATGATCGGCATCGAGTTAAGCTCCACCCACTTCTTGGGGACCCCAACTCAGACTATATCAACGCCAACTACATTGATGTAAGTGCATCAGCGCCTGTTTCCATCGCCTTACCAACAACCTTCTCTTCAGCAAAATCTCAGAGTCTTGAGTTTTTTGTCTCATAGAAACCTTCTTGGCTGTGTGATCTAGAATTCTCTTTGTCTTCCATGTTTTCCCTGTGTCTCTCTCACACATGCACCCTTAGGTGCTCCACACTTCACGCAGCCTGATATTACATCTGCCCCTGCTGTCTTTAAGAATGCTCTTTGATTCCTGAGGAAAATGCTACCTTTCCCTTTCCCTTTTGCTCCAAGAATGGAACATGATGGTACAGAAGTAGATCAGGATAGGGTTAGATATATGTGAAGGACCATATGCACTCTCCTTCAAGAATGGGGAGCCTGTATCTCTCCAGATGTTGTTACACTACAGCTCCCATCAGCCTCAGTGACTATGGCCAATGGTCAGGGATGATGGGAGTTGTATTCCCTCCCACCAACACATACCAAATAAGGGCAAACATAAATTTCCCATCCTTTAACAATCCATGTTATGTCTAGAGATGGGCATGTTTCCTAAAAATTATTCAAGTTCTTCCAGGAAAAGAAAGAAGGAGTAAATTTTCTGAGACAGTCCAAATATAGATGCCAGTGACCCAAGTGAACTGTAAGCTATAATAAACAGCACATGCTCCAATACCAGAATCGATTTTAGAAATTACCCCAATTAAACCAACATTAAGACAAACTCGAATGCAGCACAGACCAAATTCATGGAACAATAAAGGAACAGAACAAGAGAAATCCATTTGTCCCCCCAACTGTGAATAAATGGCGTGAAGATGTACATTGAAATAAATGCAAGATTGTGTGTGATGAGTCAATAACTGTAAAACTATAAAGTGAAGATACACACAATACATGAAATATAATGCTGTCTGTCCACTGATAGAAGAAGCCCATCAACAGAATGAGGGAGGGAGGTAATTTTTAATGATTTCACCCTACTGCTACCTCCATAAAGGTAAAGGTAAAGGTACCTCTGCCCGTACGGGCCAGTCTTGACAGACTCTAGGGTTGTGCGCCCATCTCACTTAAGAGGCCAGGGGCCAGCGCTGTCCGGAGACACTTCCGGGTAACGTGGCCAGCGTGACATCACTGCTCTGGCGAGCCAGAGCCGCACACGGAACGCCGTTTACCTTCCCGCTGGTAAGCGGTCCCTATTTATCTACTTGCACCCAGGGGTGCTTTTGAACTGCTAGGTTGGCAGGCGCTGGGACCGAGCAGCGGGAGCGCACCCCGCCGCGGGGATTCGAACCGCCAACCTTTCGATCGGCAAGCCCTAGGCGCTGAGGCTTTCACCCACAGCGCCACCCACGTCCTACACCTCCATACTCCCTACTAAATCTGCTCTGGAGGGTTTCCCAGCCGTCCAGTCAGGCTCCCGTGATGAGGAAGAATTGCCAGCAATGGTCTCCCTCCTCTGTTCCACTGGCACACAACCTAGATACCCCACAATACAGAGCAACTGTGAGCAACTAAAACTTTTATTTAGCATGTATTACAATGGTCTGCATGGTGGCAATATGAATTTCATCAAATGCTTGCTGGAGGCTCGTGCCTGAACTGTTACAAATATAGCCTATGTCCATATTATGGCCGTCCACTAACACATGATTTGAAAAACAGAATAGGGACAATATAATATTATAAGTGATCTCTAAATCCCTCCACAAGTGTAAAGCCTCTGAAACTATCTGTCCTAGAGCTGAAACTAATTTCCTTCCAAAGCGTCTCAGAAGTTTTCTTCTGCAAATTTTGACATCAAACATGCACTGAATAGTTGAAGACTTGCCAGTAGTTTATGATACCTATAGCTGACATTGAGTCACATTTGGTTTCAGTATTGGATATTTGACTTGATATTTTACTTTGGTAGTTAATATATGATGGTATTTGATAGCTGACAAGCAATGACATCTACCACATTTGACAATTGATGGCTTATCTAATTTTTGGACACCTGCCTAAATCAAAAGATGCCAGAATGTTGAAAACACTCAAATCTCAAATGCCACATTCAAAATTGAAATTTGAATTTCAGATTCAAAATTTGGCAAACCAACCAATGGGGAATTTCTGTCAAATTTCTAATATTTGTGAATCTTTATTTCAGCTCTAGACTGTTCATGGCTGTCTAGATTGTTTAAGTGAGGCAAAAGAAACCAGATCCAATCCCAGTCTCCTTTGCTGCTCCTCCTTCTCTGCTCATCTATGTTGCTGTCTAATGTACTCCCTCTACTAAACAGTCTGGTCTCCCTCAGATTGTGTCTCACTAATCTGTCTGTCTCTGATCTCTTTTTCTCTTGAACCTGTGTCCGATTGGGCTTGCTAAGATTCGGATAAACCGAGAAGTAAGTATATGTCGAGTCCCTCTCCTCTATTTCATCTTTCTTCCATTTAGGAGTCCCTTAAATATTTATCCAGGGGTGGAGAATGTGGTTGGGGGCACATGTGAACCACATGTGAAGTAGTGGTTCCCTCTACTTCAGCTGTGTGGAACCTTTTCCTCTCCCCCAGATGTTGCCTAACAACAACTCCCATCATCCCTGGCCACTTGCTGGGACTGATGGGAGTTGTCATTCAGCAACATCTACAGGACCAAAGCTTCCCTCCACCTACTTTAACTCACACCGTCTTCAAATATCTGAAGGACTGTCACATGTGTTATAATGGGTTGCATGGTGGCACAGATGATGTGAACTTAATCAATGCTTGCTGAGGGCTCATGCTTGAACTGCAAGCATCCAGAGAATATTTGCAGGGAGGGAGCTTTTCCAGGCTGGAGAACATCCCCTTCTGGTTAGATGATTGAACATGGGTGTATATTAGGTCCTTTGCAGAACTGATGACTTCACATATAAAATGCAAAATGAGAGCGTAGGTGGCCACACAGGGAGCCTCATGTTTAGCTTTCAAGCCAACATGCTGTGTTATTGGTTACTGGCGCTGTTACATCTTTCTCTGTTCTTTGGGCCACTGCTCCCCCATTAGGAGTTACTAATGCGTGCAGTAAGTGGCTTGGATGAATGAAGGTGTTCACAATCATTACTCAGGACCACATGACTTCTGTGAACAGCAAGGCTGCAAACAGAGCTCTTGTGCTGCTCTCAGTTCCTTGCAGCTTGTGGATATTAATCAAGGCTGCCTTCGTGTACTGGGAAGCACTTGTAGTCTGCTGTTACCCTCAAGGTGACCCATGCTCAGGCTGAATCCCAGTCTCCTACGTTTGGCCTTGTGTGCACTGTATGATGGTGCCAGGGGTAGGGGGGGGGAGACCAGTTATGTTCAGACAACTGGATTGAAGTGAGGGGTAGTTGGGTTCACACATGCAAGCTCCACTTCAGACCACCCCATTTTGAGCGGGAAGGTCTGAATGAGGATCTAAGCATGTTCAGGCTAACATGTGTATAATCCTCTCTGTGTGTTAGGGAATAGCTGTAGCTCAGGTAGAACATCTGCTTTGCATGCCAAAGGTCCTAAGTTCCATACCTGGCATCTCCAGGTAGGGCTGGGAGAGAACCCTAGCTGACACCCTGGAGAGCCTCTGCCAGTCAGTGTAGATGGTGCTAAACTAGCTGGACCAGTGGTCTGGCTTAGAATAAGGTGGCTTCCTGTGGTCCTGCGCATGCCTTCCATTGATCAGGAACTGTGCCTTATCAGGGTTCCAGGTGGCAAGGAGAACTATCAATGTGTTCAGCTGAATGTGTTTAGAATCCCCCCTTCAGACCTTCCAGACGCCCATGTGAAGCCTGCAAACAGGGCATGAACACAACAGCACACTTTCCCAACCACTGACACCCAGAGGCAGATTGACTCCTACACTGGAGATAGAACATAGCTATCATTGCTTATAGTCATTGATAGATTTACCCTTCACAAATTGGTATAATCCTCTGTTAAAGCCATCCAAGTTGGTGACCATCACTACCTGTTATGGTAGTGAGTTCCTGAGTTTAACTGTACACTGTGGGAAGAAGTGCTTTCTTTTGTCTGTCCTGAATCCTCCAAACACTCCGCTTTCTTTGATAGCCCTGGGTTCCAGTCTTACAAAAGAGGGAGAAAAAGATCACTCTCTGTCCACTTTCTCCACATCACCCCCAATACCATGCCATGTATCTTGCTCTGCCTTACTAGCCTTGTTTCTAAACTTACACGCCCCAAATGGCATGACCTTTTCTTGAAGAAGAAATGCATCCTTGTTGCCTTAGCAACAGCATCTCACTGCCCATTTGGAGTGAGGACAGTGAGAGATCTGTATTTGCCCTCAGTGGCATCATAGTACTTTAAATGTGTGCTTTGAATGTGGTCTTGGTCCAAAGCATGCAGGATCTGGGCAGGAAACTGTAGGGCAGGATGTAGGCACTGTGGAAGGGCTTTAGTGGATATTTAGGTTGAGTGGCTTTGCTTTCAGAGGGACCCTGGCTGAGGATCCATTTGGACATCCTCTAACCAACTTTGGAAGTTTGTTGGGGCTTTGGTATGTGTGTGTCAGGGAACTGCCATCGGAGCCAGAGGGAGAGGGAGGGCTCCAGAGGGATTCCGGAGAGCGTCCCGGGAGGGAGAGAAGCAGCACATCTTCTGGGGAAGGAAATCAGCGTAGCACCAGTGGAGAAGGGGGGCAGATGGGGGAATCGGCGAGGTGGCTCCAAGACTCCTCGCCGGGGACCAGCGGGGAGAGCACGGGTCCTCCGATGCCCACACCCTCCCTGCGCAGAAGGCTTCTGCGCAGGGAAAGCAGGCGGAGACTAGGCGTCAAAGAGCTTCTTTGCTGGAAGAAGATCAAGAAACACCCACTGACGGATTCTGCCAGCGATTGAGACAGCAAGGGTTCACTCAGGCAGCCAGCCAGGTGTGGCACCGATTTACGCACAAGCAACCCCTAGAACCATTACAGTGTGGATAGCAAAAGGGGATTGCTTAAGTCAGCTTTAAGAGCAGCAGATCTTGGGACCAATGTTGCTGGCGGCGTTCCATGCAAATGCAGGAAGTATTTCCACTATTCCCTCCCTACCATAGGAACATAACACACTGCCTTATTCCTTCACAGGGCTACCACAGATCCAACCACTTCATAGCCACTCAAGGTAAATCATTCTTATCATCTTCTTCCTCTTTCACATTCTGGTATTCTTGGCCTCCTCATTTCTGCACCACTTGGGCTTGTTTTTGAGAATAATGATGGTGATGCTGATAATAATAATAATAATAATAATAATAATAATAATAATAATAATAATAATAATAGTGGTAGTAGTATTTGAGCATGTAAAGTTTTTCTCCAGGGAGAAAACTGCAGGGCAGAAGACCTAAGCCTGTCTCCCACACATGCACACGCACAATGTCCCAAGCACAATCAGAATCGCTCCTTTATCCATGATTGCCATTATTAAAAAATAATAATCACAGGAGATCATTAAAAATGATGGCTCTCCCATGGCATCTTTTTTAATGGTCCTGAGCATGTGGGCAGCAGGGACCCAGAAAAAAGCAACAGTGCAAAACTGAGTGGGGGTTGACATATTCAATCCCTGGACCATCCTTGGTTTAATTATAATGATATCCTGTCTTTCCTCCCAAAGGAGCCCAGATGCTGTGTATATGTGCCCCCTCCAATCCCTCCATCATTGGTGAACTCGTGGGGATTAGCAGATCCTCCTTCATCTTGAAGGTGATGGAGTGTGTGGATTCAGCCAGCCCAACACATTCATTTCTGCCAATTCAATATGTTCATTTTATTAAACAATTTAGACCCCAAATATTGAAAGGGGACACTCTTGGTAGTCCTCAGAAGTTTGGGATAGAGGTGTCTTGTGATGGGGCTTCCTCTGTGGCATTCCACCGTGGAATTCCCACCCCTCAAAGAGGCATCTGGGACCACCATTGTATCGTTCTCCGCTTTCATTGAAGACACACCTCTTTACTTGACTTTTGACAGATGAGACTTATTTTTAAGTTCCACTACTCCCTGGTGCAGTTTTTCATGTACAGTACATTGTTCCAACTGCTTTTTAATACTGTAATATTGTAATGCTGTAACTCACCTCTGAGATTTTTGTGGTAGAGGGTGGCCAGGAAATACCTGAAACAAATCAATAGCCACCTTATTTTTGCACATGACATCCTTTAGCAGTCTCTGTGGTTGCTTAGTTCTCTTCCATCTCAATGCTTCAGGCCCCAAACAGGAGATGATCTATGATTTCTGGCGGATGGTGTGGCAGGAGCACTGTTCTAGCATAGTGATGATAACCAAGCTGGTTGAAGTGGGAAGGGTAAGAGACTCATTCTGTTCTCCTCTCCCCACCCTGTGAGTTCCAGAGGGGTGTGCTTTATTGGCCCTGACCCCACCACCCTTAGACACACAGATGATGGTCTTATCTTGCTATTGCAGGTCAAGTGCTCCAAATACTGGCCAGATGACTCAGAGATGTATGGTGACATCAAAATTACCCAGGTGAAGTCGGAGACATTGGCGGAATATGTCGTGAGGACGTTCACTCTGGAGAGGGTAAGCTCTTCACGCTTCAAAGCTCAGCACAGTCCTGTCTGTGGAAGCATTGCTCTTAAGCCAAAAGCTGGTACATTGGCCATGATCTCCCAGCAGCAACGGGTGGCAGAGATATGTTTCGCTGAGGCTTCCTTGCTGGCAAAAAGGTCTGCAGGCCAGGAAGACTGCAGGAGGGCTCCTATAGCAACCACTGAGCATTGAGAAGACCTTGCTATTCTGCCCACCCATACTGGTCCCTGGAGTAATGTGCAATGCTCATGTGCAAAGCCTATGGTTAGGGTGAGGAACATGTGGCCCTTCAGATGCTGTGGATTCCAACTGCTAAACCCCCACCTTCAGCCTTGCCAATAGTCATGAATGATGGGAGTTGTAGCCGCATGACATCTCTGTCTAAAGCAGTCTCCCCCAACCTGTTGCTGACTATGTGTTTGGTACTAGAACTTCCATCAGCCTCAGCCAGCATTGCCAATGATCAGTGCTGATGGTGTCCCAATGCAGGGCTGCAGGTCCCCAATTTCTGGCCTACCATATTATTTTGATGGATAGTTTAGGGCTGAGCAAAAACAGACCTTCTGAAATGCTTCATCCTATTTGCAGACCATAAAATTGGAATGGCCCATTCACTGAATATTCTGGGGTGGGAAGGAATCAGTCTGGAGGGGTTGTTTTAAAAATCACAACCCATTTTCTTCTTATTTTGGCGATGAATACTGAAATATAAGATATTGAAAGTTAGTGCTGGTTGGTGAAGGAATCAGTGGGTTAAAAGAAGAGGGAGCAAAATCACTGCTTCCTACAAAATGTTAAACTATCTGTCTATCATCTATCTATCTATCATCTATCTATCTATCTATCTATCTATCTATCTATCTATCTATCATCTATCTATCTATCTATCTATCTATCTATCTATCTATCTATCTATCATCTATCATCTATCATCTATCATCTATCATCTATCATCTATCTATCTATCTATCTATCTATCTATCTATCATCTATCTATCATCTATCTATCATCGTCTATCTATCTATCATCTATTTATCTATCATCTTCACAGTTGAGCTTGAAATTCCTCTACTCACAGGCAGCAAAATGGGTGGAGAATTTGAGTGGAGATGGGAAAAAGAAATTTCCTTCCTTCCTTCCTTCCTTCCTTCCTTCCTTCCTTCCTTCCTTCCTTCCTTCCCTCCTTCCTTCCCTCCTTCCCTCTGTTGGCTTACCTCTAGATTTCTACATAGTGAAAAAGCACCATGTTTAGTCTATTAATCCACAAAAGCAAATGGTATTTCCCCCCCAAAAGCAGGGGTGCCAACTTTAGGGGGTGGAAGCGGCTTCGGCCCCCTCAATATTTTTTGGGGGGGCAAGCCCTACTCCCAATATTGAAGGGGCTGCCATCCCCCGCTGCTGCTGTGTGAGCACTCGCGCACTGGGCGGGACACATCATGTGATGACCAGCCCGCTCAATGTGGGAAGCAAGTCGGTGTCCCAAAGATAGAGCTTTCCTGATGTATTAGTTCAGATCCTAAGATTATTGTGCATTGTTGTCCTCACTGATTTGACACACAACATCAATTTCTCTAGCAATCAGTCATAGGCACACTTGTGTACACAATTTTTCTACCCACTCTGTTTTGTTTTGTTTTCTTCTTTTTAAATGCTATTTTGAAGTAGCAGGGAAAGGCATTAGGTACACATCGTTCCCCATCATTACACATTCTTACGAAGTGCTGACCTTCTTCCCAGGTCATAGATCAAAGTGCTGATCAGCTTCATGTGCCCCAGCCTGGTGCTTTCCAGAGATTGTTGGTCTACATCTTCCACCACCCTTGATCATTGGCCATGCTGGCTGAGACTGATGGGACTTATAGTTCAAAGCAACTGGATGCACCAGTTTGGGGAATGCTGACATAAAGAATCCAGTTTTTTTAACGGCTCAACAGACCAGGCTTAACATGCAAGAACTTGTTCAGCACCAAATGGCTTTTTCTCTCTGCCTCTCCCTTTTGCAATCTGCTACAACTCTTTGGCACAATGTTGCTATATTTGGGACACTTGTTTGCAGCTGCAGCTCTGTGATTTTCACTCCCCAAAATGAGAATTGGGGATGTGCATCATCTCCTTAGACACTGAGGGTAGAAAGAACCTAGAAGGATGAGTAGTTTGTTTATTGACTTTGTATCCTGCCCCTCCTTCTGCTGGAGCCTGGCACAGCAAACCACAAAAGAGGACCATTTAAAAGAAAAGAAAAGCATCTTTAAGACATTTCAAAACCATTTTTTCTAAATGTACAGTGTTTAGAAACAATCACATACCCTCACAGTTATTAATGTATTAGTTTCTTAAGGTAAAAAAAGGTAAAGGTACCCCTGCTCGTACGGGCCAGTCTTGACAGGCTCTAGGGTTGTGCGCTCATCTCACTCTATAGGCCAGGAGCCAGCGCTGTCCGCAGACACTTCCGGGTCACGTGGCCAGCGTGACAAGCTGCATCTGGCGAGCCAGCGCAGCACACGGAACGCCGTTTACCTTCCCGCTATAAAGCGGTCCCTATTTATCTACTTGCACCCGGGGGTGCTTTTGAACTGCTAGGTTGGCAGGCGCAGGGACCGAACGACGGGAGTGCACCCCACCGCGGGGATTCGAACTGCCGACCATGCGATCGGCAGGTCCTAGGCACTGAGGTCTTACCCACAGCGCCACCCGCGTCCCTATTAGTTTCTTATGAGCCATCAAATGCCTAGGTAAACAGGAATATTTCAACATTTCTTCTGAAAGTCAATAATGAGGGAGGCAGATGAACCTCACCGGGAAGGGAATTCCATAAACAGGGAACCACTACCAAGAAGGCACTGTCACAGGTCAACATTGTTGGCTTAAAGACTCCTTGAAAGTCCACTTTCATATTGTGCTGCATGTGTGATGTGAACAAACACAAATAGGTGGTTTCCTTTGACAGAGAAGATGGAAACATGGTGACATTATCTGGAAATGTTTTCTTTGAGGAAGAAAATTGTAACCTGGACCTGGAGATGCTGCTACTTGATGCATCATCCTTTATAGACTCTGTGTTGTGTACAATTTTGACTTTAGAATGCAAGGTGTTAAAATCTGGATTTCAGGGAAATGGGAGCAAAGTGACTGGAATGTTTCAGGGTGGACTTACCTTTTAAATTATTTCTTTCTGTTTTGTTTTTAACTGTTTTCTGCTGCCACCACCATGGCAGCCAGCTGCCTCTGCTGGCAGTGAAAAGAGTGTCTTGTAGGTAGCTAGGTAGGTAGGTTAGTTAGTTTTTTTGAGATCTAAAGCCACAGAGCCACAAAGAATCTTAGGGAGTTTGTGATTCACCTCATCTTGTTATGCTGTGATCCAAATTCAGGATTTTCTTATTCATAAGAATATTTATAAGGTGGCAACTAATAAAAAAATACACCAAGGTAGTGCACAATGAAGTCAGGAAAACACATTAGAGCTATAAAATCATAACATTATAAAACCACAAAGAACAGAACAAACGGCCAACACTGAATCAAATAAATTCTCTAAAAACACTTGGCGAAGCAAGTAGCTTCCCGGAAGGTGGGAACCGTCCCGAAATTGCCTTGTAATTCAGAGTATGCACAGAACCAGTGCACACACCTAGTATTTGTGTGTAGCCATTTCCTAGCCTGGGAGACTTTTGTCTGTTTTCAGTCTTCTCTTTTGGATCCCAAACCCTCTGCTCACTTTGGCATCCCCCTCTCACCAAACATGCTTGGTGCTCAGAATTCCTCCATCTGAATCTTCCTTGTTTATACGCACTCTTTAGGTACTCCATTGAAGGACGTTCTCTCAGTAAATAGTGCCGCAGAACAGCCCTTTATTTACGTGGTCATTCTTGATGGTTTAATTTCAGTCTAAGCGCCATGTAATTGCACAGGGAATGGACAATTATTTCTGCCTTCTAGACAGGAGCTGAAAGCTTCGTGGCAATTATTGAGCAGTTCTACTGTATCTCGAGACACCCGCAACTGTAATTCACCCCCCCTCACCCTGTAATCTAGAGGAACGTTAAATCACAACCTTGTTACAAGTAAAGTACTGAGTTCCGTCGGGATCTGGTTGCCTTGTAATCGTTACAAGGCATTCCCGCAGCTCCAGTTTCAGGGAGAAGGACCACTTAATCAGTGGCCTGGGATTTCTCCACCAAAAAAAGAGGATGGAACCTCTGAGCCAGTGTATTAAATCATGATACCATCTCAGCCAAGCTTAACAAAGATGCAATATCACACTATGATGAGTGATTTAGGGTGAAAGGAGATGTAGCCTCAAAAGGAGAGAGGACAGCATGACCTCCAGCCATGGGGTAATCCTGTGAATATGGGATAGATTAATCTGTCAATGTTGGTTTCTCTACGTTTCTCATTTTTTCAAAGCATAAGTTCAGTTCGCAATGTTTGCACATCAGCCTGCAGTTATTATTTGCTCGTTAAAACGATCTCACTTCGTCAGCCTTTTGGCGCTCGTTGTTCCTACTTTTGCATGCCGTTTGGCCCAGTCTACACATTTCTGGAAAGCGATTCCTCCCTAGCAATCTTTCCACTGAGGTAGGTATTTTTGTATGCGGTGTACACATGCAACATTTCTTGGGTTGGAGAACTGCATCACAAAAATTCAGAGAAGTATCCATTTTGAAGGATAGGCACATTTCAGTCTGCGTATTTGTGGGGGAGGAAAGTGTGACTTAAGGGGGGTTTGCATGAAAATTTTGAACTGAATCAAAGCTTCCTGGTTCTGCTGGGAGGGCAGCAACATGGAAAATACACAAACCTTTTCTGAGATGAATCTGCCAAAGTGAAATCGTGGCACCTGGGTGGGAATTTTGATCAGGCAGCAATCCTGCCGTTAGAGCTGCTTCATGTCAGAAACCACTGTGTTTATGCTCTTATCTCATGCTGCCTGTAATCATGAGCAAAATCTAGCACCTGTAATTGCTTTCCACTTGGCCTCATGCCACACCGAAATCTAGAGAATTCCCAACAGCTTCTCCTACATCAATACTTAGATGTTCTGGGTACGTAGCAAGAGTTCTGGTAAATACAAGAGGTCCCCACCGGTGTTGGCATTCTGCCGGCTGTTGAAGATGCACCTGCTTAGACAAGTATTCCCTCGAACTTGAACTTTCCTGATTTGATTGTTTAAATTGCTCTTCAAATTGGTTTAACTGTTACGCTTTTTAACAGGATTGTTTTGTTGTGATTTTTTAAATTATGGATGTTCTTAACATGTTGATGGGATTGTTTTGTTTTAGCTATGTATGAATCACATCATTGATTACTAACTTGTAAGCAGCTTAGAAACCACTCAGGTGTGTAAGCCGTATATTAATGAATGAATTAATATTAGGTGAGCATCCAAGGTCAACTTAATTTTGAGTGTGATAGCTGCTTGTTGCAGTGGTTAACATCTTTCATGGTGAACTTTATCATTTCCCCCAATTTTGAGAAAATGCAAATTCCAAGCTGCTGGATCCTGTTCAATAGCCTTCTGTTTAATTACAAAAAATCCCTCTATAATTGAGGAACCCTTTTTCCTTATGTGTTCATAAACTGTAATGAAGTCATGCTTCTGCAGCAAACCATTTATAATTGGTGTGTCATGTTCGGAATTTGTTTTAAAGGGTTAGATTTAAATATTTATTTTACCTACTTATTTATTTCATTTATATGGAAGAGCTCAAGACAGTTTACGTGGTTGGTCCCTCCTCATTTTGTCCTCACAACAATCCTGTGAGGTAGGTTAGGTTGAGAGAAAGTGATTTTCGCTGGTCACCCAGTGAAATTCATGGCTGAGTGGGGATTTGAACCCTAGTTCTAGTCCACCACTCTAGTCATTATACCACACTGCCAATTTTCTAACAACAAAGTTGAGCTCAGAGCAGCTAATAATGATAATAATAAACCTTGGCAAAAAATAATCAATATAATCAAACAAACAAGCAAACACACACCATGGTAAATAAGCAAAGCAAGAACAAACAACTCAAGGAACATTGCAGTTCAATGAAAACCCATAATAATGTTAAAAATAATGATTCCTAATGGTTAATTAGAGGTAGAATTGGGTGACCTGCCCTCAAAAGATGTGCTCACCCCATATTGCTGTTGTGATTTTATGTGATATTGGCTGGTCTTATTGATCAGGATATTTTTATTGCGGCCCACTTTGAGATTTATTTTTAAATGAAGAGCAGGCTATAAATTTCTCTAAGGAATAATGTAATGCATTGATAGCACTTTTAAACACAAGGCCAGGCAGTCGGGGACTCCAGAATGCAGCAAAAGAATTGGGATTATGAGAATTTTGGAAGCACCTTTGATGTTAACCTCCACCTTCCCGGGGAAACGTCCAGTGCCCAATTTATATATAAGCTAAACAAGCTATAGCTTAGGGCCCCACTCTCTTGGGCCCCCCAAAAAAAATCAAAAGAAAAAAACCTGGATGTACATTTCTAAAATATAAGATAAAAAACAAATAAAATAAAGCCTACATACAGCAACAATGTTTGTGTTGTGTAGGCTCCTATGATGTAAGTAATGGGCCCCGCCTGCTAGCCTGCTCCCTAAAATATCACTGGTTTGCTCATTTCTATATATAGGGTGCCTACATTCTGCATGGACTGGTTGCATAAATTGCCATATATTCAACACAAAAAACATTGACAATTTGTTGCTGACAAAGGACAGCTGGACATATAAAGGGCCCCATGACCTTCAGTAGCTTAGGGCCTCATCAAACCTAAATCCAGCCCTGGAAACATCTGTAGGGCTAACCCTACTTTCTCTCTCCCTGTCCTCACCTCCTCCTTACAGAGGGGCTACTCAGCGAGGCATGAAGTAAAGCAGTTCCACTTCACATCATGGCCAGAACATGGGGTGCCTTACCATGCAACCGGGCTCCTGGCATTCATCCGCAGAGTGAAGGCCTCCACGCCTCCAGATGCAGGACCCATCGTTATTCATTGCAGGTAAGTTCAATACTAGAGATCCAAGAAGGCATCATTCTCCATGTCACACGCAAGACTGTTTCTCTTCCTCTGGTGGTTCATCTTCTGCCCTAAACAGCATTGTTCATATCGATGTCCACTGTGGCAAATTTGCATGTCTTATGTCATTTTACATACTTAATCTCATAAATTGCATGAAATATACAGTGGTACCTCGGGTTACAGATGCTTCAGGTTACAGATGCTTCAGGTTACAGACTCCGCTAACCCAGAAATAGTACCTCGGGTTAAGAACTTTGTTTCAGGATGAGAACATAAATTGCACAGCAGCGGCACGGCGGCAGCGGGAGGCCCCATTAGCTAAAGTGGTGCTTTAGGTTAAGAACAGTTTCAGGTTAAGAACAGACCTCCAGAACAAATTAAGTTCTTAACCAGAGGTACCACTGTATTGCCATTATGTTAATCCACCCAATTCATTTCAATTTAAAGGAAACACGATGGGATGGGAAGCCATAATCAATTCCGTATTGTTTGTGGACTGAAAGCAACAACAGCAAGTACTGATCGTATTCACTGGATTGATTTTTGCTCTGGATGAGGAAGGAATAAGCATTTTCCTCATCCGTTGCTGTTTTTTGTTGGAATTCCCCAACGTCCCTGATCAAGACAATTAGGAGCAACCATTAGTTTTTGCCTAATGCACATAGAGCCTTTTGTAATATAACTTGTAAAAATATACATTATGTTCAATAATGAGAGCATGAGGAGAGAATAATGATCCTTATGATGAATAGGGTCCTCAGCTCATGGTTGAAAAAAGTCAGCGAAGAATTGGGGCATTATCTGCAAATTACTAGTAAGGAGATATCACAGAAAATGATGACTTTTGTCTTGGAAGCAGAGAAATGTCATCACAATTAAAAGAATGCCCAGCTGTGTGATTCTATGGATAATTGTGGGAGTTTTGATATAGAGTCCTTTGCTTAGATCACATCATCCAGTTTCTGTATCATACTTTAAAGATCAGTGAAATACAAAATTGGCTTTATTGCTGGGAGTGGTGGTGGAGACAGCTGAGGCAGGTTAAGAAACCAGTGCTATATGGCTTGGGCTTTGGAGCTTAATGTCCCAGTAATCATTATCAAAGGTTAGCCCAGTCACTGAGGTCCTCCTCTGATGGTCTTCTGCTGCTTCCCTCACTGCAAGAAGTGAAGTTACAGGGAACCGGGCAGAGGGCCTTCTTGATACTGGCACCCTCACTGTGGAACACCCTCCCTTCAGGTATCAAGGAGATAAAGAACTATACAACTTATAGAAGACATCTGAAGCTCTGTATCAGGAAGTTTATAATGTTTGATGTTTTATTATATTTATATATTCTGTAAGCTGCCAAGAGTGGCTGGGGAAACCCAACCAGATAGGCAGAATATAATAATAATAATAATAATAATAATAATAATAATAATAATAATAATAATAATATATATATATATTATTACATAGGAAGCTGGTCCACTATTTGTCCACTAGCTCAATATTGCATGTTTTGGACTGGCAGTGGCTTCCCAGTATCTCAGATTGAGGTCTTTCCCATCGCATGCTACCTGGCCCCAAATCACACAGTGACTGGCCCAAAATCACACCTAACGAGCTTCATGGCTAAGTGGGGGATTCAAACCCCAGTCTTCCAGGTCCTTTTCTGGCTCTACTCTAACTGCTAGACCACGCTGCCATCCTCACAGTTACATGGCCTGCATGGCTACATTGGCTATTCTGCTGAGACGGTGGAAGACCATGAATGTTGCACTCCTGGTCTTACACCTGCTCCTCTTCTTCTTTTGCTTGCAAAGCAGCCCCATGCTAGCACAGAACACAGCAGCAGCGCTGTTCCTCGCCGTTCTTTATAACTTCTGCATTCTGTGCTCTTTCTGTGCTAGATAAACAAGAAAGGACTGATGAATGAAAGCTGGGGAATTTCTCCTCATCACCACTTTTCTCCCTCTCTTTCTCTCGTCGATTGCTTCATCAGTATTCATTCATCAGGGACAACCAGTATAATTAGTTTCCCCAGCCTGTAATCATTGATAATCACAGCAAGTGATTCATCTGCCCCAGAAATTAGTATATGTACTAAGAAGGTCCAATGGAAAGGAGAAGTGGCTTCCCTTTGCGGCATTTGGAATTTTGCTGGGGCTTGGATGGGTGGATCTTCGTTCAGGAGGAAATCTGTGGGGTCAGCTCTGTGCTACAGGCAAGCTTTCCCTAAGAAACAACAATCTGTCATGAATCTGCTTCTCTTGGCATGTGTGTGAGCGAGCTGGTTTTGTCTAAAGCAGGTCTGGGAAGGGACCTTGGCAGAAACCTTCTGGCTGCCATTGCAGGAGTATATCGATGAATGAGATGTTGGCTGTGTTCACGCATAGTGCTAAACCATAGTTGAACATTATGTCCTCATGTGCTTTCCCTTCCTCTCTCTTCCTCTGGTGCAGCTGTGAAGAAGGGATTTGGTTAGGTTTATTGTTTATTATTATTATTATTATTATTATTATTATTATTGTTGTTGTTGTTGTTGTTGTTAAACTTATACACCGTCTCAGGGCGGTTCACAACCAAACCACAACATATAAAATCAAACCAAAAGCAGTAACCCAATAACCCCGCCCCCCCAAAAGCCACATTCTATATCAATAAGATAAACCAAAGGCCTGGTTAAAATGGAATGTTTTTGCCTGGTGCATAAAGGTGTATAATGAAGGCACTAGGAAGACTTCCCTGGGGAGATCATTCCATAGACAGGGAGCCACTGCAGAGAAGGCCCGTTCTTGTGTTGCCACCGTCCGGGCCTCTCGAGGAGGAGGCACACGGTTTGTCTAAAATCAACCACCTTCAGCTAGTGCTTAATGGACAGATCACATCTAGATAATAATAGCAATAGTTAACGATAGATCCTAGTTGGGAGACAATGGTAAACTGTGGTTAGTTGAAAATGGAACCAAATGCCCCCCAGTCTCCCTTTGGAGGAGGAGAGTGGGATAGGGGAGTCTTGTGCAGCTAACACTAACCTGGTTTAGCTGTGCGTACCGTTAAAATGGGACGCGGGTGGCGCTGTGGGTTAAACCACAGAGCCTAGGACTTGCCGATCAGAAGGTCGGCGGTTCAGATCCCCACGACGGGGTGAGCTCCCGTTGCTCGGTCCCTGCTCCTGCCAACCTAGCAGTTCAAAAGCACGTCAAGTGCAAATAGATAAATAGGTACCGCTCCGGCGGGAAGGTAAACGGCATTTCCGTGCGCTGCTCTGGTTCTCCAGAAGCGGCTTAGCCATGCTGGCCACATGACCCGGAAGCTGTACGCCGGCTCCCTTGGCCAGTAAAGCGAGATGAGCACCGCAACCACAGAGTCTGCCATGACTGGACCCAATGGTCAGGGGTCCCTTTACCTTTACCATTAAAATATGGTTTAACTAATTTAGCACTTCATGTGAACCTGACCTTTGCCCTACATTTCAGAAACCCCAGGCTACATAGAATTGTGGTTGGCAAATGATCAAGATGAAAACACAACAAATAACAGACCCCACTCTCATGCATTAAAGCCAACTTTTGACCCATGAATTAAAACGGGGTGAGGATTGAAACCCAGTTGTCTGCTTTACTATTCAACTAAGCACCACACCACACTGGATCTCAGCACTACTGTCTCTCAAAAACCATAAAAAAGCTACAAAGAAGGGTTGGAAAGCTTGGATGAATTCTATTTGTCTGGCACATTCTTCACTGTTGTTTAAAGAAAAGTAGGTATTGATTAAAAACAAAACAAGACCCACAACATTAAAATATAATCACATCCAAGAACTAAAATACATTTAAAAAACCCACTTTTCAGGTGGCTTAGCCTTGACTCCCCAAAGCCTGCTGTAGCAAATGGGTCTTTCAATAAAAGATGTGCTCAGGCTTGGACTTGGTTGAGTTTCCAAAGGCCAAGACTTCTATCACGGGGAGACAGCCATCAAGAATGCACCTTTGCCTTCAGCATTCTAATTCATTGGAGCAGTAAAGGAACATATGGAAGAAGTTAGGCCAGCCTTTCCCAACATGGTATATGAGGAACAGAGGAAGACGCCTCATACTGAGTCAGACACATTGGTCCATGAGGCTTTCTCAACCTCGGCCCTCCAGATGTTTTTGGCTGTGATGGCCTGGGAATCTGATTCAGAAGCTGAATCTGAGGAGTCCCAGCCTGCACAGGAGTCCCAGCCTCCAGGGCTGGCTGAGTCGGGGCAGGGGCTTGGATCTGAAGGGCCTGCACCTGTGCCGGGTCCTCAGGATCAGACACCAGATGTATCCACTCTGGCTCCGGAGGTAATTGAGGACCCATTGCCTGCAGGTGTGCCTCTCCCAGCCCTGTCAGGGGAAGGTGAAGCTGCCCCTGGGTCCAGTAACCCTCCAGCCTCTCCTGAGCTGCAGAGGCTCAGGGCAGAGAGGCGGAGGGAACTAAGTGCTCTCAGGAGGAATGCTCGCCTTAAAGCCAGGAGAGGCGGGTCACCTGTGGGCCGGGACCCCCCCCCCTGGCCTCAGAGAAGATAAAGGCCAGTCAGCCCGGTCCCAGGTTGCGGGAGCAACAACGTTGGAAAACCTGTTTCTGCCAGCACCCAAACCTGTTTTTCCGGAGTTCCCAACCACGCCCGGCTTCTTGCTTTGGACCCCGCTTCCCTCTTGGTGGACAGTCTCCAGACCCTCAGCCCAGGACTGGACTTTGACCACGCCTCATGGTAACCCCCCCCCCCGGACCAGCACATTGGCCTACAACTCCCATGATCCCTATTTAGCCGGACCAGTGGTCAGGGATGATGGGAATTGTAGTCTCAAAAACATCTGGAGGGCCGAGGTTGAGGAAGCCTGAGTCTACATTGACTGGCAGCAAGTCTCCAGGGTTTCAGATTCGGAATCTCTCTCTACCAGAAGATATTTGGAACTGGGTGTGGGACTACCTGCATACTCTACCACTGAGCTGCTCCCCTTCCCTGTTATTTGCTTGGGCAAGTTATTTGCCACTTACATTTCAGCAAGTTTACAGCATAGATGAACACATCAGAAATAAAAAGTACAAAAAAGACCAGCAAATTTCCGCATTCTGGAAGGCGCAGACAACAACTAAATGGAGCATCCTCTTTAGCATAAAAATAAACATTACACATAAAAATCAGCTGCAAAATTACAAGGAAAATTCCAGATAGCGAAACACAGCAGACAGCTAAACAATATATCCTCAGAATATCAGGAAATAGAATATCACAAATGAAAATCAGCTAAGAAGTATGAATTCCACATTTTTAAATAACATGATTGACAATCAGGTATAATAAAAATCAGCTCACTCTTCCCACTCCTCAATATGCTACATCAATTGTACAATCAAACAGAGCAATCCAACTGAATTCCCAACCCCTTATATAAGCAATAAACAAAACTTCTTTTTAAGTGCAGCTAATAAATGCCATCCCAGTCAGTCTCACTCAAGTTATTACCCTTAACATGATCAACACACATCAAACACATTCACACTATAAACCAGTGGTTCCCAAAACGGTTGGTGGAATTGTGGGGGTGGGGTGGGGTGCTGTGAGGTTATTAAATGACTGTCAGATTGTTGAAAAGCTGGTGTCCACTGAGGATGCAAGTTTATCAATTTTTGTTGAATACATTAAACTAGTTTTATGGATTTTGAATAAATGTGAAATCGTTGTTTCCTGTTTTGAATGTTGTTAAGGGTACTGGCAAGACATCCTCGCAGACAAAAACTCGAGACGAAAGGGTTTGTTTTTGAGCCTTGCAGACGATTTCCTATGTTGAATATAAACGTTTGCAAGTTGTTTCCTTTTTTCTTAGTTAATACAGTTGCGACTTGACTTCAAGGAGCAACTCATAGCACGCGGTGTGGTAGCCTTTTTTTGAGGTTTTTGAGACTTTGGTTTTTGAAGCTTTCCATGACTTACTCGCAAGACAAAAAAATCGCAGACGAAAAACTCGCGAACGAATAATTTCGTCTTCAGCTATCCACTTATTATCTTCCTTTTGTGATAGTAATGCTCTTTATAGGGATGGAGGGGCACTGGGGAAGAATTTAGGAACAATGGTGGAGCCTGAAAGTTAGAACCTCCTAAACCACAACAGGGTACCTCGGTTAAGTATTAATTCGTTCCAGAGTCGTAAACCTGAAGTTTTAACCTGAAGCATTTGCAATGGGCTCTCTACGCTGCAGCCGGAGCACATCTCATCTGAAGCCTTAACCTGAGTCTATTCTGCTTAGCGGACTGTACCTAAGCGATGCACCCGAGTACATTTTCAAACTACTATTCTATCACATGCCAAGCCACATTGCCTACACTCTGCAACCAACATGGTGCCCTCCATCATCCTTGATCATTGGCCAGGCTGGGTGGGGTTGATGGGAGTTCAGAAAAATAGGAAGAGAAGGTACCAGGTTGGAGAAAGCTGTGTTATGCTTAGGCATTTAAGAGTCTACCATCCTCTCCTCCCACATCCACAACCCTCTACAGTGCCGGCACAGGGAGAACAGGCTGTTACATCGTCTTGGACGTGATGCTGGATATGGCTGAGTGTGAGGGTGTTGTAGACATTTACAACTGCGTGAAGACACTATGCTCACGGAGGATCAACATGATCCAGACCGAGGTGAGATTTGGACATGGGGTGTATGGTCCCAGCCGGGACAGGGATGGACTGTGGGTTATCATAATGGCAGGTTTAGCATGCAAAGCAGCACCCCGTGGGTTCATAAAATGACAATCTCCTGGTTTTCATCTGCCCTGCACCAACTTCCTATTTTGCAAAGGCCCCAGTAAGATTGGATCCTCTTCTTTCTTTTGCTGTGTAATTCCCATGTTCTCCTACTGGGGACCCCAAATTATTATCACTCTTCTAAACCTGTCATAAAGCCTTCTGAATCCTCCATCCCAACAATTCACTCTATAACATGCGACAACATCCTGGCCATGTTCAGGCACCACACTAAGTTGTAGTTTAACCTAGTTATAGCCAACATGGCACCCTCCAGATGTTGATGGACTACAATTCCCATCATCCATGACCACTAGTCATGCTGGGGCTGATGGGAGGGCAGCATATTGGCTACCACTGGTTTAGTGTGACATGAAAATCCTTAGGCCTCAAGTTCCCTTGTTTCAAACAAACCAAAGCTAACATTACCTACAGTGTGCCGCTTCAGGCAAAATGGCAAAACTATAGTTTAGCAAATGAAAGGGACCCAGCCCTATTTGTTGGAGTTCAGTCCAGCTTTAAGGATGCTTTAAGCCACCTCAAAAAATATCTTCGTGTGGTAGCATATAAATATAAGGCTGTGCACTGTCCATCTTACATCCACTCCATGGCCCTGATCCATGGATCCCCAATCAGGGAGAGCACCTACCCCACCCTGGATCTGGGTCTGAATTAGTGCATGGCAGAGGGGCTAATGTTTAGGTGTGTGTCCCCCCCCCAAGCTTGACTTAAACTCACAGCTGGAAGGAGAAGGAGATGTTGCATTTTCCTCCCATAGTCAATTCTTCAGGGCTTCTCCAAGATGCTGCTTTTGCAAATGGGTATCCTGCACCACACCGAATCAGGGCATAGTGCTCATTTGCAGAATGCAGTAAAGCTGCTTGAAAAGGAGGCTCCTATACCATGCAGCATCAATGCTATGGTGCTGCTTCAGGGATGGGCCTCAGACATGAAGGAGAATCAGATGGCGGACTCCCACCTTCTCCTGGGTTTTCACAGGGTTTTTCCTGCCCAATGTCTGCCTCTCATTTCTATCCGATGCCCTGACAGCCACAGGTTTGCTCCTGGCCATCCAAGCCAACCAGTCACAGTCCATGCCTGTCTGCACTTGACTCATCTGATGCCTAACGCCCCCCTAATATTCCTGATTTGGCTGAGGCCTTGGACCTCAGACGAATCTGGTGAATTATTTCGATTGCATAAATCGATAACCATTTAACTTTCATTCCCTTCTCCTGAAGGAGCAATACGTCTTCATCCACGACGCCATCTTGGAAGCGTGCCTGTGTGGAGAGACCAGTATCCCTGTCAGTGAATTCAGGCCCACATACAAAGAGATGGTCAGGATAGATCCTCAGAGCAACTCGTCACAGCTGCGGGAGGAGTTCCAGGTGAGTCCATGAAAGCTGAAGGCTTCTTTGAACCAAAGAGACTTTCTTCAAGTGCACATTTATGATGAGCCTTTGGACCCAGGATTGCCAATAGCAAGAGCCCAGTATAGCCTAGGCATGCATCTTTTGTGATAACCAGGAACACAGAGATGGAAGAGACCGTTGGGGTCTTCTAGTCCAACCCCCTGAAGTGCAGGAATCCTTTGCTCAAACTGGGCCTTGAACCCACAATCCTGAGAGTAAGAGTCATCTAGTTGAGGATGTCACTTTATTTCCAGGCAGGGACACAGGAACTATGTTACTAGCAAATGTTCAAAGCTTTTCCCAGAGTGGAGGTGCCAGGATTGGACAAAAGCTTTCACGTCTTGAATTTCTGCTTGCCATGCAGTTGTTGAAGGTGTGGGTATAGCTCCTGCCAGCCTAGCAGTTCGAAAGCATGCCAGTGCAAGTAGATAAATAGGTACCACTGTGACGGGAAGGTAAACACTTTTCCGTATGCTCTGGTTTCTGTCACGTTGTTCTGTTGTGCCAGAAGCGGTTTAGTCATGTTATGTATTCAGGCCACACGACCCGAAAAGCTGTCTGTGGACAAATGCTGGCTCCCTCGGCCTGAAAAGCGAGATGAGTGCCGCAACCCCATAGTCGCCTTTGACTGGAGTTAAATGTCCAGGGGTCCTTTATCCTTTACCTGAAGGCGTAGGAGTTTAGGAAGGAAAAAGAGAAAAATGGCAATTCTGTTTTTGGGAGGCTGGATGGAGGATGGAGAGGGGTGTGGGTGGGTGTGGGTGTGTTTAAAATTAGCTGAACAGTACAAAGGTAGAATTTGCATTCATTGCTCCACCCACTTTTGCCTCTACTCCCATCCACCATTGTCACGTGAGCCCCCCCCCTGAATGTTAACAAGAAGGGAATGTAGCCTTGGGGCTAAACAATGTTCCCTGCTCCTGATATAAAAGAAGGGTGCCTGTTTATTGTGCCTCTTAAATTTCTCCTGACTCTGAGATTATGAAATGCTGCCTGACCTGGTTTCCTTGTGTCCAGCAGACTCTGAATTCCGTAACACCCCACCTGGATGTGGAGGAGTGCAGCATCGCCCTTCTGCCGCGCAACCGGGAGAAGAATCGCAGTATGGACGTGCTGCCTCCAGACCGGTGCCTCCCCTTCTTGATCTCCATGGACGGAGACAGCAACAACTACATCAACGCGGCCTTAACCGATGTAAGTGCATTGCCGGGGTGTTATGGGTGGGGAGTGGAAATGGAGGAGGCCAAGCCCCTCTCTACCCTGCACCTGATAAGGTTCAAGCTGCCACATTCAGGCTCCGAAGCCATTGAATGGGAATGTGGAATCAGGACCCGCCTTTCAAAGACTGAAAAGAAAGTTCAAAATGCAAAGTTTTCTAAGTAAGCAACTAGATAAAGGTCTAGAGATACTTTTGGAAAATGCACAGTTGTTGTCTCATCCAGGCTATAATTAAAATGAGTTATATTTTAATCAGCCTTTGGTTGATTAATATTTTGCACTTTGAATTGTTTTTTGGGAGGGGTGTTGTTTCATTTTGTTTCTGTTCTAACTGTTTATTTGTGCTTTTATCCTGTATTTTTATATTGTGAACTGCTATGAGATCTTCGGATGAAGGGTGGTATTATAATACAGTAACACAACACAACACAACAACATAACGTATTTACAGCAGAGATGAAATGAAAGTTTTTCATTCAAAATGGCAGCTGCGATGAAGTGGAAACTGTCCCCTGCAAATTTGAGGGGACTGGAAAAATTCTAGAATTTATTTGGAGCTAGGAGCTTTTCCAGACGAGTAGCTGCTTCCTGCTCTCTCTCTCTTTTTCAAATGTGGTTTGGAACTCCTCCAGCAATGCCTCCCATAATAACTCACTATGATTATAATTTAGTGTCTAATATACTGTTTTTTCTTGTTGTGAACTGAAACCTATGCAGCATGCACCCGTATTTCCCAGGAAGGATATATGCTCCTTTACAGCCTGTCGATTGATTTGGAATCAAACATCCTCTAATCAAAAGGGGTATAACTTAGTGGCAGAGCAAGTGCTTTGCACGCACAAGTTCTCAGCTACAGTCCTCAGCATCTCCAGGTAGAGCTGAGAGATACTCTTAGCATCAGTGCCAGTCACTCTAGACAATGCTGAGCTAGATGGAACGGTGGTCAGGCTTGATATAAGGCTATGCTCTTTAGAGAGTTTTGGCTAAACATTAGGAAGAACTTGCTGATGGCTCCATCTGTCTGAGAATATAACAGAAGCCGGTACAAAGACATTAAACACTGGTCAGTTAAGTGGCCGGGGCACCGTATTTTCTTCTACTTTTGGAGCACTGATCAGAGAGGGGCTGTAGCTTTGCATGTGAAATGACCCAGGTTCAGTCTCTGCCATCTTCTCCAGTTAACAGGATCAGGTAGACCTTTATTTCTCCCAAGAGCTTCTGTCAGTCAGAATTGACAACACTTGCTTAGATAGATGGATAGTCTGATAATGGGCAGCTGCCTATGATCTTCTCTGCTCTTCCTAGACATTTCTGTGCTGTGTGATTTGATTTTTCAGTTTCAGTTCTTTTGGCTCACTTTTCACCTGTTCTTTAAAAAGAGACACAAGACACATTCTAGTCTCTCTCTCTCTCTCTCTCTCCAAGACAAGACAGTGATGTAAATTCAGCAACCACTCCTTGAACAATTCTACCTCTCTCTTCTCTCTCCTCCCCCACGGTCCCTTTTTCTTTCCAAGCCAGGGGAAATAAAATCCATTATGCATAGAAGTTCCTTTGCGAGTGCACGGGCTGAACTGACACGCCGTGTTATTGTAAATATGTCTAACAAAAAGCAGGGAGAAGAGGGAATCAGGAGCATCCGAGCTGAACACTGCCACTGCGCTCCCGTCTCAGGAGCGTGCCGCAAAACCGAGAGTTAAGTGGTAGCAAGGCAGAGGGAGCAGATAAGCTTTTCATTCTCTCCCACCACACAGATGTTGGGATGGGGAGTGGGAGTGGTGTTGGTCCACATTTTAATTCCCATCTCCATAACTGCGCTTCCAGGAGCAATGTGCAAAAGAGAAGATCCGTTATCCTTCGAAATTCACACATCTATGAATTTTGCAATGCAGTTTTGTGTGAGAGAAAAAACATAGCTTAGGGAAAAGTGTGCATTTGTATGAGCACATGAACATGCATTCTGGGTGCAGAAAATCGCTTGCAGAAATGTGCATATTGGGCAGAATTTCGCAGAAGCCTCTGCCTGTTAGGATAAATTCACATTAAAAATGCATATGAATTTTCATGTGGACTCTTTTTTTAAAAAAATAAAAAAATCACAAACTGATGAGGAAATGTGGAGAAACTAAGTGAACTTAGAACTTGAAAAGTGGGGCAATGAGAGAATTAGAAATGGACAGATGGCATAGGTTAAACAAGTGGGCACGGGAATCATGCCAGCTCAGTCTGCCCATGGTTTGGCTGTACTCCACTGGCTTCACCCCCAATTTCCATATGCCTAACAGGAAGTCCATAATATATGTACATCAGCAACCCCCAAGGTCAGGGACTTCAGTCAGCCAGGGTTTCCAGCTCTGTGGACTGCCTGTGTATGTTCTGTGCTTTCAGGTCCTGATTATTCATGTATTTCTATCCCTGCTTTTCCCAAGTTGGGTTTCAAGGTGGCTCAGATTTTCTCCCCGAAAACATCATTTAAAATAAAAAGAAACTAGTTGAAAACAATTAATAAACTCCAATGAAACACATTCAGGACCAGCATTAAAATAGCAATTGCCTTGATAGCAGCCCATTTGTCAACATCATTTGCACCTAGTTTTCAAATACAGTGGACCCTCTAGTTATGCACCCCTCTGGATATTTAACTTTTGGGTTACGAACACGGCAACCTTGGAAGTGTATACTTCCAGGTTTCCCCCGTGCGCATGCGCAGAAGTGCCGCCTCTGCCTACGGAACTTTCGGGTTGTGGATGGACCCCCAGAACGAATTTAATTCGTATCCGGGGGATCCACTGTAAAGGCCTTTCTGAATAGGAAAGTCTTAGCTTGATGGGGGAAAGATAATCCAGATAGATCTCTCTCAGGGCCAGACTACATGTCATACTGTTCATATAGTTTTTAATGCAGACAAAAAGATAGTAAGTTCATTAGAAGATGGAGTCTGCTGTCTTGTAGGACTCCATAGATCCATATTCTTTCCCTGGGGATACTATAGTAATGTACATGTGTGTGGTTGGATTGATTTTTTGAGTATTTGATAACACCAATTTAAAAGGTTTTTAGGGACTCAGCTATACAGCTGCAAATAAAAAAGTTTAAGTGTGTTGTGAAGTGCAATATACAAATGTGACAATAGATGGCGACAGTGAGCTATGGCAAATGCAATATATTTTTCAAAACATATTTAAAAAAATCATTTTCAAAGAGTGTTTTTTTTATGTGTGTGTAGATTCCACCTAGGCGTGCATAGGCAGATAGATATGAAATTTTTAATTAGTTACCAGTATCTGTATCTTAATATCTCAGTTCCCTCGAACTATCTTTATATTTACTATACAGAATTTTGAAAATAATAAAAAGTGTTTAAACTAGCCACTTTTGTTTTGAAGAAAGAGCCACAGAATGAGGGCCCTGATCTGAAACATACCTGCATTATGGATTGAAGCCTTTCCCCATTTTTCTGCTGTCAATCACCTCCCTGTCATTGCCCCAGCTCCTATTTCCCCTCTAAGCTGCTGGGTTCCCCCAAATTTCCTTCAGGCTTATAATAGCATAGCTAAGCCAAGACTCCAAAACACTAAAAGCCACTTGTGGACTCAGGGCTGGCCCAAGACATCTTGCTGTCTGAGGCAATAGTGACCCACCCTATTCTGGAAGTAGACATTAAGTAGAATACTGTAATGATTCTTTCTTTGACATTAGTGATGGGATATTGTCTTCCACCATGCCTCAATGAGGCAGGCTGTGGAGTGCTAGACAGACTGCACAGCACCCACAGCTCTGTCCTTGGAATGTCTCATCACCATATCCAGCCCATCAGTATCTACCGCCTGAGGCGACTGCCTCACTCTGCCTAATGGTAGGGCCGGCTTTGTTTGAACCTGTGTTTTTGGCAGGCCTGCTCAAGAGATAAAAACGTACCTGTTCAGGCTTTCAGATCACATCTTCCCATACAATGAAGCCCATCTAGAATGAGCACATTTTTTCACAATCCTTTATTCACATGATATGGCCAGCTGCGGCACTTTATGCAAACGAGTAAAATTCACAATGCCAGTTTTCAGGTAAAAGGGAAAATAAAAGTAGATGGGCTAAATTAATCAGTGACCTGCTTCAATTAGCCAGAGAGGTCAGTTTGGTGGAGGAGAGAGAGCGTTCTGAAAGCCGACAGTGACGTAAAACTTCCAAGGAAATGGAATAATCAAGGGTAAAGGGCTTCCTCTGTAGGTTTGTCTCTGGCCATCAAAGCACGAAAGGATTTGATTAGATCATGATGTGCTATATCCTTATTCACTTTCCAGAATCATCAGGGGCCGCCTTTCAAATCAACCCTTTCTTTTACTTGTGTGCCCTATGGCATTTTTGTAAATAACTTGGGCACAACAGGGAGTTGACCATTTGATTCATGGCCACTTTGGGTTAAACCACAGAGCCTAGGACTTGCCGATCAGAAGGTTGGTGGTTCGAATCCCCGCGACGGGGTGAGCTCCCGTTGCTCAGTCCCTGCTCCTGCCAACCTAGCAGTTCGAAAGCACGTCAAAATGCAAGTAGATAATTAGGTGCCGCTCCAGCGGGAAGGTAAACGGCATTTCCGTGCGCTGCTCTGGTTCACCAGAAGTGGCTTAGTCATGCTGGACTACATGACCCAAAAGCTGTACACTGGCTCCCTCGGCCAATAAAGCGAGATGAGTGCCGCAACCCCAGAGTCGGTCACGACTGGACCTAATGGTCAGGGGTCCCTTTACCATTACCTTATCGTAAATCTTGGCCTAGCCTGGAACAAAAGTTCCAGTCAAATTGTGGCTTCAGGGTTCTTAGGTCTGTACCTCAGGCTCGTTTGCTCCATCCTCAGAAGGGCACCCGCAGTGCCAGTGCTGCAGTCTCTGCCATTGCCCAATGGTATTGTTGGCAGATTAAAATGGCGGCTTGCCAACAGCATGCCACTGCTACTTAGGAAGTCAGGAATATAGAGGGCAGGTGGATAGATGGGCTCAGAGTCAGCAACTGCTAAGGATCATGAGTGCTAGTGCCAGGCCTCTCTTCCTTCTTTCACACACTTCAGTTTCCTCACTTCCTGGATTGTGATAACTATAGTGTATTCTGGTAAGCTAAGATCCCAGCAAATATGCATTTGCTTCCCAAAGAGTCTTGTGGAGCAGAAGTAGGATTTCTCTGGCTGCTCATCCTAAGCCCTCAGGCCATTGCCCTTGTTTGGAGGACAAAGTAGAATATGGTCTGACCTGGGCCCCTTAAACTAACTTGGGGCCTGAAGTGTGGTGGAGGACAGAATTTCATTACCAGAGTTGAAGTAAGATTCAGTAGCCAGGACAGTCATCTTCTCTATAAGGAATGGAATGGAAGTGCCATCTTGGCCTTTTTCGTCAGGCAGCAAAATGTCGTGATTGGCCCTGCTAGAAACCATGCTTTGAATTGAGTTTGCCTTTTCTGAATAGGAGGGAAACTGGTTTGTGGTAAACCATAGTTTCTTCAGTTCACGTGCAACAGTAAACTGTGATTATCACGAACCAATAAGTGATGGTGGGACAGGGGGGTACATTGGGGGAGGGCATTGGCCCAAGACCAAATGGACCAAATTTGATTTTGCTGAGAAATTTGAACTGTGCCCTAAGGAAGAAACCAGGGCATCACTGAAAAGTCAGGTGTGAGATCAACACCTTCCCTTCCAACTGGAGGGAAGATGAGATGGGCTAATCTGATCCTGGGAGCACAGGTAGCTGTCTTGTGTTGAGTCTGACCATTGGTCCATCTAGCTTAGTATTGCCTGCACTGCTTGGCAGTGGCTCACCAGGATTCCAGACAGAGTTCTCTCCCAGCCCTACAAGGAGATTCCAGGGACTGAACCTAGTACTTTGTGCATGCAAAGAAGATGCTCTATCTCTGAGCTGTGGCCTTTGTCCTGGGGTTGCCTGTTGAAGGAGAGAGCCCTAATAGCTGACTCTGACTTGCACCAATTAATCACTTAACACCATCAGCTTTCCTGCACAGATCCCACCTCTCTTGGTTTCCTGCATTCCCAGTTCTCCTTTCTGTTCTGATCAGGTAGCAAATTGCTGTAATTATTTTTATGCAAGCACCAGAGCTGAAGAATGAAAAAAAACTGGTGCTTCTCTCTCCATTAAGTAGCAGCCCATGGATCTTTCATCATTTGTGCCCCACTTTGCTGCCTTTTTAAGCAGTTGGTGTTTTTTGTGGGGGGGGGGGAGGAAGGCTCTGTAAAATAACAAATTCGTCCTGAGATTCCCTTTGTCCAACTTCACCTCTTTGGAGAGAAGCTGATCCAAATCACCCGGCTGATGGGAGAAAAGAACTCAAGACTGAGATTATGCACTCTGTAACAGAGTTTGAAAGAAACTGAGAAAGCTGGGAGATGTTTTCTAAGTGCAGGGAACTTGTCACTTGAGCTCCTAAGTGTTGTTTCAAGGGCTCTTTAGGAAGGCAAAGAGCTGAAGAAGAAAAGCTCTGCAACCCTGGATTGTCTGCTCCATCTCTGCAGGTGCCCCTAAAAGCCCTTGCTTCTTTTGAAGTGCTAACAAGCCTTGCAAAGTCATTACCTTGAGGTTAAGGGTCTTTTCTTTCCTTCCCCTCCTCCCCTCCTCCCAAGAAAATGTTTGTTAGAAGCAAAGCCTGCCTGGCTTTTCTGTGTCTTACCATTTCCCTCCCTCTCCCCATTTCAAAACCCCAATAAATATTACCAGGCAATGTTGGCTGTGTGATAGTTTAGATCCGAGAGCTGCTTTCTGTGCTCTTATTATCCAAAAGGTATAACTTCCGGGGGGGGGGGGACGAAGAGATGATCCACTGGGCAGACATTTTTCACACTGGTTCTTAGATCAAAGGAGACGGAATTCTGTTTTTTTTAAAAAGAGACCTGAGTGCTTTTTTCCCATCGAGCAATATCAATGGACAGAGGCTCATTCTTTTTAAAACTTTGTGTTTGCTGGGAATGAGGTCCTAAGCGGGAATGAGGCTTTATCATATCTCCGTCCTTCAGCCTTCAATTTAGTTTGATCCAAAATGGGCCTCTGCGCTGACTCGCATTGATATGTATATGTGTGATTTTTCTTCACCAGATGATTATTTGTTACAGGCCTCAAATTATAAGGCAGACAAATGGTATCAGATTAGAGATTCTGACTCCTGAGTTTGAAAGAGGATCCAGCATGCTCCAAGATCCCCAGTAGAATTACTTATAAATATGGCACAGAGTGTGTGGGAGAAAAGTATGCTCATAAATTTCCAGGCTTGATTTTACATGAGGGCATTGACTTCTGAAGTCCTGCATGGCTTGGAACCAAAGTCTCTCTAGATCCACCTGCTCCTTTATGAGTCTCTTTGAGGCCTTTCTTCAGGGATTCCTCACCCCCTAAGATCAAGAGGGTGGGGGCTGAGGATCAGACCTTATGAGAAACAGTTGGGGGAGTTGGGTGTGTTGAGGGTAGCCCGTCAAATATTTGAAGGGCCATCACATGGAAGATGGAGCAATCTTGTCTTCTGCTGCTCCAGAGGGCAGGACCTGAACCAATGGATCCAAATTGCACAAAAGGAGATTCTGACTAAACATCAGGAAGCGTTGAACTAGGACTAGGAAGGCCCAGGTTGCAATCCCACTTAGTCAAGAAATACACAGGGTGGCCTTGGGTCAGTCAGTATCTCTCAGTCTAAATTACCTCACAACAGGGGTGTCATCTGGGGGTGGACAAGCCCCCTTTACTCATGATGAATCTCTTTTTAAATAAGGTAAAGGTAAAGGTACCCCTGCCCGTACAGGCCAGTCTTGACAGACTCTAGGGTTGTGCGCCCATCTCACTCAAGAGGCCGGGGGCCAGCGCTGTCCGGAGACTCTTCCGGGTCACGTGGCCAGCGTGACATCGCTGCTCTGGCAAGCCAGAGCCGCACATGGAAACGCCGTTTACCTTCCCGCTAGTAAGCGGTCCCTATTTATCTACTTGCACTCGAAGGTGCTTTCGAACTACTAGGTTGGCAGGCGCTGGGACCGAACAACGGGAGCGCACCCCACTGCGGGGATTCGAACCGCCGACCTTTCGATCGGCAAGCCCTAGGCGCTGAGGCTTTTACCCACAGTGCCACCATGGCATTAAAAAAAATGTCAACAGGAATATCTAACAGAAAACAGATATTGCAGCACATAACAGAAGCCCCCCATATTTTCAAGAAGGGGGTGAGCACCCCCCAAAAAATCTGCAGTGATCCTCAAAAGGACATGCCAGGATGAAGATACCTAGCCCTTTGAGGATCACCAGAGCGCCTTCTGACCCCTCCTCCCAAAAAATGTTGGGCACAACTCGGCGCGCCTGCCTCACAAGGTTTTTGTATGAATAAAAGGAGGTGGAGAAGCATGTACATTGCCTTGAGCTCCTTGGAGGTTAGAGAAGATATAAATGTGATAAAACAAATATGATAAAATAAAGACAAAGATTTGTCTCACCTCTGAGCCAAACCCAAACCCAGAGGATTCAAATTGCAGATAAAATAAAGACAAAGATTTGTCTCACCTCTGAGGATTCAAATGGCAGAGTAGCAGGATTGAGGGTACCATCGCTCAGCCAGGATTTCTCTGGGAACAGTGGGTAATATTCAGGGTAAAGTCATACCCAGAGTAGACCCCTTGATTAATGAGATCTACTCTGGGTATGACTTACACTGGATATCACCTACTAGAAGCACATTTAGGCAGTTCACCTTCCATCTTTTAAAAGCTCACATTTAGTGTTGATCAGTGGAGTTCCTTAAATAATGCACTGGGATCTGAAAGTTGTATGGCATTTGATCAATCAAAAATGCCTATTTTACACATGGTAACCATCACTTGAAGTTTCAAATGACTAGTGATCAATCATATTGCCTGTTTTACTGAGATATGTGCTTTAGTAGACAGAAGGTGGATGATGGTAAGGAAGTGACGATCCTTCTGCCACCTTTAAGTTTCTCTTGTGTTTTTCAAGATCCAAATGGAATTAGATTAATCCTGCACACAATCCTTTGCTTTAGAATCTCAGAACCTAGATTTACATCTTCCTCCTGGTCAACCTTGGAGATTAGGGCTGTGATTTGCTCCATCTCTTCCCTCTAACATGTTGCTCTGCTTTTATCCCATGACTCCTTTTCTCTCCTTTAGAGCTACACAAAGAGTGCTGCCTTCATTGTGACCTTGCACCCACTACAGAACACAACCACAGACTTCTGGAGGCTGGTGTATGACTATGGCTGCACTTCCATCATCATGCTGAACCAGCTCAATCAGTCCAACTCTGCCTGGGTGAGTAACAGAGAAACACCTGCCACTCATTGCTGTTGCTTCTTTGAGCAGACTGTTTGCTCCACTTTGCATTTATGTATGATGTGGTCTTCAAAAAGACAGCCAGATCTACTTGCATTCAACTAATATCTCCAGGGTTTGTGTATGTGTGGATCAGTGGAATTAAGAATGTAAGTAATATATGAAACTTGAACAGTCAAATCACAGTTACATAGTCTAATGCACAAGCTGATTCTGAAGCACAAAATAACCATGTTAAAACGATTCTGGTTAATTTAATTTCAACAAAATAATGACATAGTCTGCAAGTCTGTTGAAGGCCAAAGCGATCTGAAGCAGAGGCCAGTTTGATCTGGATTTGCTAAAGGCTGGACTGACGGAATGGGCAGCCAGCCACTAATTCTGTTTCCACAGAATCATCACCAGGGCCACATGCACAACAAACATTTAAAGCGCTATGATACCACCTTAAACAGGCATTACTTCCCCCCAAGATTTCTGGGAGCTGTTCTTTGTTAAGGGTGCTAAGAGTTGTTAAGAGACACCTATACCCCTCACAGAGCTACAATTCTTAAGAGTGGTTTAACAATCAATAGCTCTTCCCAGGGAACTCTGGAAGCTTTAGCTTTGTGAGGAGATGATGATGAAAAGAGAGCTGAGTTGAAATTCTTCCCCTGCAAAAGTCAGGGGGATTCGTCTCATTACAGAGGAGCAGGAGAAATATTACAAAGTCGTGTGTGTGTTTGGCTTACCTTACTGTTTTAAACAGGTTTTTTGGCTGTTCTTTTAAAGTGTGAAACAACTGAGCCCATAGCTTACATTCACATTCACGGAGCTACTACTTGGGGGATTTTGACTGGAAATGATTGGGCAGCCCAGAGATTATTGCAATAGATAACAATTACTTTGGAAACACAAATAGTCCTTTGCTTATTCTGGATGAATTAGGAAGAAGCAATACATGCCAATAACATCTTGCTTGCTTAAATGAATTAGCAAGAGAGCCTCACAATTAAACTCAAAACTGCTGCCTCCCGTATAGTTTTTGCTGCATTTGTAGCACCAAAGAGACCTCTCTGGGGTGCAAGCCTGGGCAGTGTATATGGAGGTCCTGGGCTGTCCAGATGGCAAGACCCCCCTCTTGGCCTCAGTGATATGGTCCAAAGGAAAGGAAAGCAATACATTTGGCGCCAGCTTGGCTGCCGGAGCTGCCGGAAGGACACAGCCTTGACAGCACAATCCAAGGACACTCTTCAGAGACTCATAAACCGTTTTGCCCAAGCCTGTAGGGAGTTTGGCCTTACCACCTGACAAATATCCTGGGTTAGGATGTTGCCAGCACTCCATGCATCAGCATTGGTGACCACATGCTTGAAGTGGTAGACAATTTTGTCTACCTGGGTTCCACCATACCCAGCAACCTCTCCATCGACCCTGAGCTGGACAAGTGTACATTGGTATATCAGGTTACATACACTTCAGGTTACAGACTCCGCTAACCCAGAAACAGTGCTTCAGGTTAAGAACTTTGCTTCAGGATGAGAACAGAAATCGTGCTCCGGCGGCATGGCAGCAGCAGGAGGCCCCATTTGCTAAAGTGGTGCTTCAAGTTAAGAACAGTTTCAGGTTAAGAACGGACCTCCGGAACGAATTAAGGACTTAACCTGAGGTACCACTGTATTGGCAAGACAGGTACGGCAATGGCTCACCTCTTCAAAAGGTATGGGAGAATGTGATGCTAATGTCCAATACCAAGACGAAGGTCTACCAGGCTTGTGCGTTGAGCACTCTGCTGTATAGAAGTGAGTCGTAAGCAGCTTACAACCACCAGAAGCAATGCCTCAATGCCTTCCACATCAGGAAGATTTTGGGTATCACATGGCAGTGTCAGGAGGTCCTACACATGAGTAGGAGGCTGGCAGAGACACATGCCCAACTAGCATGTTCTGTCCCTCCTGGTTGTTCTGACCCTCCTGGTTGTTTTGGAGATTCAAAATCTTTCTTCATCCTGAACACCACAGTGATTGATACCTTAGAGGCATCAGCACACTTCAGGATCAGCAGAGTATAGGCAGTCAGCGTACAGACTCAGTAGTGCAGCATTTGGCTAAACTACGTTTATTTACATATACACCCGCAGAGCATCGTAACTTAGCTCCTTCCTCTTCAGCACCAGACAGCAAAGACAAAGGACAAATGTCCTACATCACGGAAACACAGTAATACAAACCTCCTGTCTCCGTGACGTCCCACAATGTGGAATGAAAACATACACCGTCATGTGATAAAAACAATCCCATGACTGCAGCACGGGAAAAGAATCCTAACAGGCAGGGCAGAGTCTCAAACAAAGATGTGCTCTCCCAAGCCCACACCCCAGCATGTTCACACTCTTGCCTCAGCGATGTCTACACTGGCTCAGTCATGTTCACAGAATGGAAGGTGGCAGGATCCCCAAGAACGTGCGCCGTGGGGAGCTGGCTTCAGGGACAGGATTAACTCTGCATTACAAAGATGTCTGCAAATGTGTCATGAAGGCTGGCTACATCAACCTCACTGTGTGGGAATCCCTTGCAGATTACCACAGTGCCTGGAGACAACCAGTCAGTTGTGTATCCACAGCAGTGACCAGAGGAGGAATAACCATTGGGAGTAGTGCAGAGAGAAGAAACATCATGGTACACCTGCATGAGCAGAACCGGATGCCTCCATCTACAGAATCTCTGCTGCAACAAAACATGTCTCCCCCATATCAGGGTCTACAGCCACAGCAAGCACTGTAACCTTCCAGCAGTTTGACTTTACCTACCAAGGCACACTCCTCCATTGCCACCTGAGACAGATGGTTGCCAACCAACACAGTTTAGCAGCACCACACTCTGGCCATCAAAAATCCTCTGTATGGAAGGGAACTCTATGATGGATATTCAGGACTGGATGCCAGGAAGGGCATGGGACTTTGAATCTCCCCTCCCTGGATTCTTAAAGCCTTCTTGTCAAGTTCATGGCAGTTTTAAGAGCCCATTACAAGTCTGTAATGCTAATTTGCCTGAAAAACGCATTGGTTTCTTCTTCTTAGCATAAAATTGGTATTACAGAGTCTTAATGGATGTCTGGAGAAGACTTCATTAACTGGATTATTTTATGAGTCAAGATCAGGCACTTTAGTGCAAATGACCCAAACCTACAGTTGCAATGTCGACAGGGAAAGTAAGCAGAGGAATGAATTAAAGGCCCACCTCGGGTGAAGAGGCGCCTTCCTCCGTCAGCTGCACTTGCTGAGCTGAAGAGGACTGCTGCGTCCTTAAATAACAGAACGAGGAAATGAACATTATCCCTGGTGCTCCCGTACCTAGGAATCCCAGCAATTCTGCAAGGCCAGAGGGAGTTTATTCAGGAGTGAAATTAACGCTGGAAGCAATTGACACAGAGGGAAATCCGAGCCGGTAACTCTGCCACACCAGACTTTGGGAAGCTTAAAGATAAAAGGAGTCAGAAGCAAAAGGCTTTTGGTAGTGGATGAGGTGCTCTGCCTTTCCCAGCTTCTTTTCATGTTCTTAGAGCAGCTTCCTGAATTCTTTTCTTCCAAGGGATGGAGGCCCACTGGGACTGGTAGGACACAAAGAGGGGAGGCTAATGACAGGCAGAACCAAAGCCAATGAGAGGAAGATCCAGCTAATTCTAATCCCTCCCCCTGTCAATCATTTCCCCTCCAAGGTCAGCACTGAGACCGAGCGCAGACCCTCCAAGTGTACCTATTTTCCAGGGACATCTCTGATTTAGAGAAGCCATCCTGGTTTCTGATTTGACCCCAGAATGTCCCACTTTTCCTTAGGATGGCCCTGGTTTCATTGGAGAAATGTTGGAGGGTATGGAGTTATGCAACCCCCGAGCTGTCTGAAGGCAATTCTGTATAAGGAAGTTTTTTTTAAAAAATGTTTAATGTTTTATTATGTTTTTATATATGTGGGAAGCTGCCCAGAGTGAGTGGGGCAACCCAGTAAGATGTGTGGGGTATAAATAGTAAAATTATCATGATGGAATGGGATGTCCCTATTTTCATCGGAGAATTGTTGGAGGGTATGGAAGCAGAAGGAAACTGACACCCAGTCAAAACTCCTAGACTGGTTACAGAAAAGAAGACAGGCTGTTGAGGTCTGCCTGAAGGCTGACTGAAGTTGGCAGAGTTGTGTCCCATTTGCTTGTAGTGGAAGAAGGAATCTGCAGATTGAAGTTTCTCTCAGTTTATCATTTTTCCAGTTGACTACATTTCCACTGCACTTTGTGATTTATTTATTTTTAAAAATCTCATGAAAATTCATCATTTTAGTGCACATTCCTAATAGGAACATTTTTAATGCATTTTTAAAAAACCTAATATACACTTTTTTGTGAGCTGTTTACCCCTAACCCCTTCCACTCTATCAATATGCAACTCTCTTCTTACAATATTTCACCACTACCTTGTTCTGCCAGCCCCACTGGGCATCTTATTCTTTGGGGATGTCTGCATAGTGCTGTTTAGCCAGATCTTAAATGTTTACCAGCTTAACACCAACAGCTAATAAATCAACCTTTACAGTGAAACAGCTTCAAAAAAAAAGGTGACTTAGAGGGTATATCCCTTGCTTGAACCATGCCTTGCCGGAGGAAGTTTTAATATCCAAATTATAGCTCTGAGTCTGGAAGGCATCGAGATCACAGAGATTTATAGCCCCTATTAATAACCAATTATTTCTCAAACACATTTGCCATGCGGTAAGGCCTGGGCTGCCGGATGGCCCCAAATGCTAAATGTTCTGTTAAAGTGCAATGACAAACATCATATATTTTGTATTGACGCTGCCTTCCTGGCTGTCACGCACAAAAACAATCACATCGGTGACCCCTGAATGGAACAATACATCAGCTGCGCTGCTGGGTGGGAGATAGCCAGAGCAGGATCCCTTCCTATCAGTGATCTTTCTCTGGCATGTCTAATGCTTGGGAATATTGTTGATATAAACCTCCTGTTGATATTTCCAAGCGGGAATTGGTTGGGGGCGCGGCTCAGTCAGGGGACGACTCTGGTTGATGGGGAGTCAGATAACTTTGAATCGCTTCCCTACTAAAGAATATGTTTTCTTAGTTTAGAAAAAAAATATAATACGGCTAAAGGAGGTGGAATGTTAGTGCAGCTATCAGATGCAGATTCATCACAGGTGTAACCTATGGAATGTTTTGCCTTTGTCTTGTGAGTATGTCTTAGCAATGCATTGGGGCCTGAATGGAAGCAGCCCAGTACATAATTTCCTAGTATTAAGTCCATCTGAACTCAGCAGGGCTTTCTATTGAGTAAACATGTGTAGAACTGCACGGCAAGGCCAGTAGCATCAGCAGTTGGCTGTATTCCAAATTCATGACTCCATGTTCTTTATTTCTCTCTAGCCTTGTTTACAATATTGGCCTGAGCCAGGACTCCAGCAGTATGGACCAATGGAAGTGGAATACATTTCTAGGTCAGCTGATGAGGATGTTGTCGCTCGTCTTTTCCGGGTTCAGAATGTAACACGGGTGAGAAGCTCAACTATACCATACTGTTTTGAGATTATGCTGGTCTTGGGTGTAGAATTCTTTTTTCTTAGACTGAATATGCCTAAGTTGCCTTATATCATCTCAAACAATTGGTCCATTTAACTTGGTATTATCTACACTGACTGAGAGCAGCTCTACAGATTCCCAGCAGGAGTGTCTCCCCGTTCTGCAAGTAAACTGGCCCCAAGTTCTTACAGGCTCTATATACCAATAGTAACACACTGAACTTTACCCGGTAAGAAATCAGCAATCTGTGCAGATATCTGAGCAGAGGTGTTATATTTACTGACAGGTTCTCACTCCTGTTAGAAACCATGCTGCAGCATTCTCAGCTAACTGCAGCTTCTGGATCAAGCACAAATGAAGCCCCACATACTGTGCATTGCAGTAATCCAGCCTTGAAGTCACCAATGCTTGAACTACTGTGGTCAAGTTCTCCCACTCCAGGAATGGTCAAAGCTATGGTACAATAATACTGGGGCATGACAGCTATGTTCTACCTTCACAATTGGAGGCAGTATGCTCCCAGCTGCTAGGACTAGCAGGTGGGGAGAATGTTCTTGCCCTCAGGTCCTGCCTTGTGGACCTTTTATGAACATCTGATTGGCCATTGTGAGAATAGGATGCTGGACTAGACGTGCTACTGGCCTGATCCAGCAGAGCTCTTAAAACACCCCCTTTTCAGAAATCTCTAGACTTTGAGAAAACTTCGTTTTCAGGTTTGCAAGTGATGGTGTGCTCTCCACCCCAAGTTTGGCAGAACGATACAAAATCTCTCTCCCGCCGCCTTTCCCCAAGTCTGTTCAGAGAGCCCAGTCCTTTAAAGCATTCTCTTTTGCTTTTGAGTCCTCTTCTCCTTGTCTTGCATAATTGGTTTGGCAAGGAGATGACACAGGTCTTTCTTGTCTTATTCCCATGCTGAAGCTGCAGGGGCTGTTTTTAATAAGTATCAGATGCCACCACATTCTCCAGCTCCTGCCAACACTTGTCTTGCAGGTAACTTTGTGAATAATTTGCAGGCAGCCACTATGGTAATGGGATGCTCAGGGAACTAAATGTCAACAACAGCAGATCCTCTCTCTGTCTCCCAAGAAACTCAGCAGCCAGCAGAATCATCTTGGCTTGCCAAGAGAAAAAGAAAATAACATGGGCACAGATAATAACTCAATGGCAGGGGTACATGCTTTGCATAGACGGTCCCAGGTTCAATCCTTGCGGAGTCTTAACCTGAGGTAATATTTCTGGGTTAGTGGAGTCTGTAACCTGAAGCGTATGAAACCCGAGGTACCATTGTACTAATACTAATACGAATACTAATACTAATAATACTAACCTAATCTTCAACAAAACTAAAATTAATCTCCCAGTGGCTTACATGAGTTACAAGCAAACCACAGTCCCTATCTACAAACTTACAATCTAAAAGACACAACATGAAAGAAAAAGGGGAGAGGGGGGAAAGCAAAGCAGTCAAACACCATTTATTTCATATAACAACCTGCTGAGATGAAGAAGGAAGTTCAGGAAGAGGAGGGGGCAAAGGCAGCTGGACTCTTGGTTCAGCCCTTGCTGTGAGCCCTGCTTCCTTCCTTTCTTTCCCATTGCTACAGTCAGGAGGAAAGGTTGCTCCTAGCTGACAGCTTGGGAGAAAGGAGGAGCCAATGTTTCTAGGCTGGAGGTGAGACTGGAGAACAGAATATATACTCAATAAGGTTCAATAGCTTTGTAACAACACATTCCATGGCAGGGCTGGCCCAAGACAAAATGGCACTCCCCACCCATTTCATGTACCAAAGCTGACTGGACTAGCAGCTGACTCTTACTTCAACTTGGTGCCCACCAGCACATCTGAGGGCAGCAGCCTAGCTTTGGGAGCACAGAGCAGGCCACAGACACGGTTCTGTTCTGCAACACCTCACCCCTGTTGCCAGGCCCCACAATGCCTGCTTCCAGTCCCATCCTACCAGCTAAAGGCCAACAGAACCAACCGATATCTGTTTTTAACCATTTCTCTTACAGTTTTAATATTTCAAATTTAAACTATCCAAATTTTGAATGGAATAAGGTGAAATCTTTTCTTCTCTCTTTATGAGGGGCCAGATATTTGTTTTATTATTGTGTGCAAAGACTTCAGGCTTCTGGTTCATTGTTTTCTTTTGCCTTTTCTTCCCTCTTATGTTTTTGTACCTCTAATATCTTTGATTAATATTTTATCTGCTTCAGCATTTTTCTACTTTCTGAAAATAAAGGAAGGGGGGGAAGCAACACGGGGGGGGGGGAGAGAGAATGATATTAAAGTCTTAAAGCAAAACATTTTAACTTTTGATGACTGAGGAGGAAAGGGAACCTTTCCATTGCTGAGACAACTCTGAGGTGTGTCAGCACCTGGGAATGTGTACACACAAACACACGGACAATTTTTAAAGCATCGATCAGCACTTTAGACAAATTTGCTCTGGATCCCAGAAGGATGCAGTTGATCACTAAAACCATATATTTCTTGCAGTGATTAACAAAACAAAGATATTAAAGTCTTTAAGCAAAAGAAAAAAGAAAAGAAAAAGAAATGTTTTGGCTTCTGCCTTCCTCAGCTGCTCTGAGGTAAATTAAAATTCGCTGTAGCTAGGAATGCCAGAGAATTCTGATAAAAATGGAAACTGAAGGAGAAAATGTTTGCATTCTCTTATTTGTCCCATATACAGAACAGAAATCAACCCAGAGAATATGTAACAATATGTCACTGAAGACTGCCTCTCCATTCCCCCCCCCCAATGCATTCTGTTTTGTGGGAGAAAATTCCCCTTTGTGGGTTCAGTACGGAGGTGCAAACCAATTAGACTTTATTCAGTAATGCATTATAAGACAGAGTCCAAAGGAATTTGTGAGAGCTTACCATTATGTTGTCAGCGGTTCGAATCCCCGCAATGGGGTGAGCTCTGGTTGCTTGGTCCCTGCTCCTGCCAACCTAGCAGTTTGAAAGCACGTCAAAGTGCAAGTAGATAAATAGGTTTACCTTCCTCCGGCGGGAAGGTAAACAGCGTTTCCGTGAGCTGCTCTGGTTCGCCAGAAGCGGCTTAGTCATGCTGGCCACATGACCCAGAAGTTGTACGCTGGCTCCCTCGGCCAATAAAGCAAGATGAGCGCCGCAACCCCAGAGTCGGCCACGACTGGACCTAATGGTCAGGGGTCCCTTTACCTTTACTTACCATTATGTTACATGCTATATAGGGTGGGTGAGGGGAGCGTCATCTAGGCAATTCCATCTTTTCTCCAAGCATCTTCTGCCACCCCATTGTCCCACCATCTCTCATCCAACCACAGTCCTTGAAAACACTTTTCCAACCCACTTTTTTCTCTGTACTCACAGAGCCCTCCTTATATCTTATCTGGGGGTCATATCACAGCCCCTCCAAACTGAGCATGAAAACAGCCAACCTCAAATTGTAGGGATGGTGAATGGAATGTGGCCATTTTAGCTCTAGCCCTAGTTTAAACTGGAGCAAAACATGTCAATTATATCATCATCAATCATCATGTATCCAGATCTCATTGCTACCCAGTGCCAGGACATCATTACATTGCCCATGTAATCCCTGATTGGCTGGGATCTTTCTGGGAAGGAGCCTAGACAAAAGCCCTCACAAACTAACAGAGGCATACTTAGGGGGTGGAGAAACCAGTGCCTACTAGGGGCACAGGCTGGGGGGGGGTTTGACACAAAAATCACCTATCGGACTATGGAGGGCACAATGTATATGTGTGTTACGACATGTGAGAGAAGTTTTCTGTCATTCCCACAGTGTGGTAAAGTGATTTTTTTGGGGGGTGGGGTGGGGCCACTGATACAGCTCCTTGCCAGGGGTGCAAGGAACCCTAGGCATGCCTCTGCAAGCAAACAGTGGTGCCAGAGTGAAAATCTGAACACACAAAACAGGAGCTTCAAATTTCTGGGGAAAGAGACCACAGGAGGGTTTATGGGGTCTTTTGTCCCCATTTCACCTTGAAAATTTGGCTAAACTCATCCAAGTGCGTAAGTCCTAATGTTATGGGTAAATACATCCAGTCTTCTTTGCTGATGGCTCAGAAATCTGTCATTGATTGCCTTCTCTCCAGTTCTGTGCCTCTTCTGCCCCAGCCCATTAATAAAGCATTAATGACAGCTTTAGTGCCAGTCCCAGAGATTCATCTCATAAGCCACTCTTGATTCTCATAGTATTTTCATTCTTCCCTCCCAAGCCTCTGATTTGGTACTGAGCTCTGCATCCACCTGCTTAAACCCTGGGCTCACTTAGCTGTGTGCACATAATCCCTCTCCTTCCAGAGCCCCCTAACCACATTAGATTGCAAAGCTAACCAGATTACCAGAGTATTAAAGAGCATCCTTTTCCTCTCACAGCCTCCCTTCCCTTTCGAGATTTTTTTTTGTTTGCAGAGAATACCAGATGTATAAAAACAGGTGCTGCTGACAGCCATCGTTGCCAGGACTGACATTGTCACTTTTGGTGTTGTGTGTTCATGTGTGTTTGTGAGAGAATGAGTGAGGGGCAATACCTAAGACTAAGCTCATTATTATGACAAATCTGAACTGTGGGTGAGCAGATACCGTTGCTTCCATTCCACTGTTGTTCCACGAGGTCACATGGCCCAGTGTTGCATCCTGCCCTTCTTTTGATTTAACGCAGAGAATTTCTAAAATTAATTCTGCAACTAGCACATTGTATGGGAGCATTTTCCATTCTGTCCTGTATTTGTCGTGTGCGGCAGTGTTTCCATTTCACTGCAGTTCAACTTCCATCAAAAACAATATTAATCACCTCACAGTTCACTGTGCTGAAATCACACACCTTAATAGTTTACGTCATTCATTATGGTGTCATTATGTTATTTTCTCCACCCTATTCATTTCAATGCAAAGGAAACACAATGCAAATGAGAAAGAGGGAACATAATCAATTACATATCATCTGTTGATTGAAAGCAACAACAATAACAACAGTGAATGCTGGTTATATTTAGTGGATTGACTGCCATTCCCATCATGGGATGAAAAGTGCTGGCGATTTCCACTCCTATTTCCTTTTTTGTCAGAATTCTCCAGCACCCCCATCAGCTTAACATGGGTTTGATTTCCTTCTCTTTGTTTTGGCCATTTTCTCCCTCTACCTTAACAGTTTGCACAAGTACAGAATACACAAAGAATGTTGATGCATTCATATGAGCATCTGATTGTCTCATATCCCATGTAGGAGTTTTCTAGTTACAGAGATGATGGTAGTAATTTATCATGCTTATTAGTCACTTTCTTTAAAAGTAAAATAAAATGAAAAGTAAATTTAAAGTGATTTACAGTATTGAAGTCTGAAGTTTATTACAACCCAGTCCAGAAGCCCTTGACTGTACCTTGCTGGATATCACCTTTGACAGAGTAGAATATCTCCTTTCCTGAAAAATTAACAGCAATGCAAGGTAATAAAAGTGAAAAATCTTCAACTGCTGGATCAGGGCCCACACATGAGTGATATTGTGACCTGTGATAGGACTTGCGACAATGGGACCCCTTGTTTATCCTCATTTTTTATTATTTTTTGGAAGAAGACCAGAAGTATAGTCTCTTTTCATTCACTAGTTGCATAGAAATAGAGAATTTCAGCAGGCACCATGATAAGCAATAGTGATAGCTAAAATGCCCTATTCTACACGATGGGATATAATACCTTGCTGATCATATATCTGGTGACAATAGAGCATATTTCCTCATGCTGGTACCTCTTCCCCCATTGTTTTGGACTACCAACCCCTGCCAGCATGACCAATGGGCATGGGAGTTGTAGTTCAAAACCAGTGGTGGCTGGTGCCCTTTGCGACTGGTAGGGCAGAAGGCAGAGAGACCAACAGTAGATGGCGCTAGAGCCAACGACAGGCAGAGCCAACTAATTCTACAAATTTCCCCATCCTTCTCCCTGCTAAGTTCTACAAGGAGGAGGAAGCTAACAGCCGGTGCTACCCCCTGGACTGGTTGTAAGTAAGAAGGCAGGCGAATGAGGGCTGGTTGGTGGCAGGCTGTGGTTGGTGGGGTGGTGCCCCATTTGCCCAAGTGGACCAGCCCCCTGTCCAAAACATATGGATGGCACCAGGGTAAGGAAGGCTGCTTTGGAGAGAAAAGGTCTGTTTGTGTGCACACACAAATTTTTGGTTGTAGTTCAAGATGGGTCGTGTGTCTAAAAAGCCTGAAAACATCTCACCTAAGCGTGCTACCCTAAAGGGGGGAAATGATGTGCTTTCTCTAGTTACAGGAAGGGCACCTGATGGTTCGACACTTCCAGTACCTGCGGTGGTCAGCCTACCGAGACACCCCTGATTCAAAGAAGTCCTTCCTGCATTTATTAGCCCAAGTGGATAAGTGGCAGGGGGAGAGCGGCGATGGGAAGGACAATCGTCCATTGTTTGTAAGTGTCACCTTGCGGGGTGGGGAGGGGGACAAGGGTCCGTCCTCTTTTTAATTATTTTTTTTATTGATACAGAAAGAAAAGAAAAAAGAGAAAACACAAATACCAAATTACACACGGAAATAACAATAGACACAGAATTTTCTTAACAAACAATAAGACATAAATTGGTCTTAGCACTGAAGACCCAACCTCCCGTCTATTCCATATTTCGATTTCATATAACTTATTGCCAATGCACACTTTTATCATAATTAAACCTTTTATTAATATATTAATTTTTATATCTGCCTTGCAACTATTACTGAAGTTCCTCGAATGCTGCAACCAAGTTTAAACTACTCTATTTATATTTCAAATATTCCTTGAAAACCTCCCATTTTGAAACAAATTCCTGTTTTGATTTATTCTTTATTTTTTCTGATAGACCATCTAATTCTGCATATTCTGTCAGCTTTCGAATCCAATCTTGCATAAAGGGAATTTCATTACTCTTCCATCCTCAGTTGGAAGGTGGTGGTGTTCACTTTACCAAGCCACCTCCAGTTCTATTACCTCTCAGTTTAATTGTTAAGAAGGATTTGTGATGCTGGTGTAATGTTGTGTTACATCAAAATTGTTCTTTTTGTAGTATAGCCTTTGCCAAGCTGGTGCTCTCCAGGCTTTTGAAAGGGTGTTCATAATGGCCAACTGTTTATCATTAACAGGATTTAGCTCTATGTAGGTTCTGAGAAAGTGCTGGAAAAGTCTATTGATCCTCATATGTTGATGGTTTCAAACCCGCCCCTCCTAAAAAAGGTATATATATGAGGCAACTTTTACGTTTCCAAATTGATTGGGGCACCCAGAAAGCTTTTAATCAAAAATGAATTACCATCTTGTCTGTCTTCGTTAGCCGAAGGATAATTTGGCAGTGTATTTGCAACATCCAGAGCTTTCCAGAGGGCAAAGTTGAGACAACAGAGAGACAGGAGAGAGAGAGAGAGAAAAAGAAGCAGCAGCAACTTCTGGCTTACAAACAGCAATCTTGCATGTGTCTGGCTAATTTGATTATATCAGGTGTAAAGGATTTATTAGCTCTGATGGGAATCCATGCCCTGCAGATTTTACAGTGTAAACTGGCAACATGCCTGAAATAATAGGGGAGTGTGGGAGAGGAGGGGGTGGGAAGGAAAGTCTGAGCTTCACTGGGTCTCATCACTTTACACAAAACAAAACAGGTGCTGGAGAAGGAATAAATAAAGTTGCTCAGATTTGCTCTGGGAGCTTGAGATAGTGCTGATGTCATTTGCAGCTGTTTGGTTTGGCTAACGTGGAGCTGTGAAAGCGTAAACTGTAACTTTAAAGGAGGGATGGGGAACGTCAGCCCCAGGGGATGAGTGCATCCCTCTGTGATGGCCTGGGATTCAGACTTGGAGGTTGAACCTGAAGAATCCCAGCCTGCACAGAAGTCCCCGCCTCCAGAACCAGCTGAGCCGGGGCTGGGGCTTGAGCCTGAAGGGTCCTCACCTGTGCTGGATCCTCAGGTGCAGGCACCTGCTCAGTCTGCTCTGGCTCCTGAGGTGATGGAGGACCCATTGCCTGGAGGTGCTCCACTCTCAGCCCCGTCAGGGGAAGCGGAGGTTGCCTCTGGGTCCGGTAACCCTCCAGCCTCTCCTGAGCTGCAGAGGCTCAGGGCAGAGAGGCGGAAGGAACTTAGTTCTCGGAGGAAGAGTGCTTGCCTCCAGGCCAGGAGAGGCGAGTCACCTGTGGACCGGGCCCACCCTATGCCTCGGGGCAGCTAAAAGCCAGTCAGCCCCCGTCCCAGGTTGCAGGAGCAACATTGTTGGTAGCCTGTTCCTGCCTGCACCCTGTTCTGCTCTTCTGCCAGACTTCCTGACCTCACCCGACTCCCTGCCTTGGACCCCGCTTCAGCTTTGATGGACAGCCTCCATACCGCACCCTCGACCTTGGACTGGACTCAGACCTCACCTCACGGTTAACCCTCGGGACCAGCACACCCTCTTTATTTGGCCCATCCCAAGCCTTACCTGCAGATACTGAGGCTTGAACCTTATACTTCCTAAAAAAAACTCCTTCCAGTAGCACCTTAGAGACCAACTAAGTTTGTTATTGATATGAGCTTTCGTGTGCATGCACACTATACTTCCTGCACAAAATCGTATTTTCTCCCACTGAGCCATGACCTTATTTTTCTGCCATCCTTGAAAATTGCCACAGTGCAGGAAATCTGGCTCTCCACCTCCTTGTTGCAGGCTATTAGCATTTCAGATTTCTCCACAGTAGGAAGAAAGACAACGCTCCACAGGCACTGCTGTGTTCTGAGTGGACAATATGAGATTAAGGAGATTCTCTGCAAAAATTGTGCCGGCATTCATTGGTCTCTTCAGGAGTCACAATGTAGCATCGTTCCTGGGTGGGAACATTCTGGGGAGCAAGAAGAAATGAAGGCTGCATCTGTTGGCCAACGGGGTAGCCAGTTTTTTCTCCCAGAAAATGCAGTGTGCCATTTCTACCAGGCCATGTTGCAGCAAATGCAGCTGGGCTGTTCAGAAGGTGGTACCACTACCACTTGAAAGATGGCAAAGCTTTGGTGTTTTTTTAATGAAAAAGCAAATAATAACAGAAGAGAAGACAGAATAAAAATATCGAAGCAGAGATAAAAAGGGTCTTTGATTATTTTTGTTATACAGAAACACAACACCCTCCGGCGCCTCATTTTAAATAACGGTAAGATGCAGAGCCCATTCAAATTTTTTATAGATTTCAGACCACGCTGGGAGATGATTCCCATTTCTGTATGTTATTTTTGTCCCAGCAATTCTTATGTCTGTGAGTTATTTTCCCAAGCAGTCCTGAAACTGACTTGCCAAATACCGGATCCCTGCACTAATACAAATAATGTAATGCTTAGTATTTATATAATACTTTGCTTAAGAGTTTGAAATGCTGCATTACCACCATCATATAATAATGCTGGTATTATCCCCATTAGCAAAGTGCTCTGACTTTTGGTGGGACGAGCGTTTTCCCCGCCCTCTCCATTTTCTTTGGACTCCCATCTGTATTTGCATAGGAGCAAAACAGCCCTTCTGAGTCTGCTCAACAATTTAATCTCTTAGCAAGGATTATTTCTCAATCATTGCCACCAGCCTATATTTAATTACACCCAAGAGACAGCAAACCCCTTGATCCAGAGCCTTAAAAGTGGCTACTCTGGAAAGCCCAGGGTAATTATGCAACGTGGGGAGGTGAGCGCATTCTGAGCTTAAGACCCTTTTCTAAGGCAGCAAGAAAATCTTCGGCAGCCTCTTGCATAAACCATGGCTGCAAACTTTGAAATCCTTTAGACAAAACTCAAATCAATATTTCAACAGTTTTTACGGGGGGGGGGGGGGAACAGTGATGAAGCCTAAAACTTGGCATAACTTACCGTGATGGCTTCTGCTCTGCACTTCATGACCCGGTTGGAATTATTAAACCAGACTTTGAGAACTTACAGATTCTTAAGAGTCCTCCGTTCAAGACATCCAAAAGCACAAAATGGCACTGAGCTTCGGCTTTGAGCTTTGGATTCAGCTGAACTTACCGTAGGTCTTATTGGAATCAATGGGGCAGTCGAGTCATGTCTTAAGTATCATTGCTTTCAATGGGAATGGAGTTCAACAAACAGCCTCAGTCTAGTCCCCTCTTCTGCCATCTGGCTTCCGTCTATTCACTTGCCTTATGCAAGGATTGGCTAGAATCTAGAGAAGCCACTGTTCTTGCATCCTTTTTCCCCCCCACGTAAAAGCCTTAAAGATTGGGCTCAAGGGCTATTTATTTATTTATTTATTTTGCATTGCTTCCCATACAATATCATAAAGCGATTAACAATAAAAAAACACGAACAATGAAAAACATAGATAAAAAACAATTTCAAGTCCAAATCCCTTATGATTTCTGGAACCTTACTTACTGAATGTAGGAAGTCTGTCTAATTTCAGCTCTCCAAAGTTATCCTTTGGGTTGGGTACATGCAGTGCTTTTTTTCCTGGGGGGACGAAGGGGAACGCATACCCCTAAACATTTTGTGAATCGTTGTGCTTTCATCCATTTACTGTATTTATTTTTCCCGATTTGAACTATAAAATGGTGATTTTCTTGAGTCAAAATGAGAGTACCCCAAAACATTTTTTAGGGGGGGGGGGAAAGCACTGGATAACTGTACATTACTTTGGCTTGTTTCTTTCTCTCTCTCTCTCTCTCTCTCTCTCTCTCTCTCTCTCTCTCCACTGCTGGATAAAAAGCAGTTCACCATTCTGTTGCTGTTGTTACATTTATATCTTATCTTCCATTCAAGTTGCTTAAGGTGGTATACATGGCTCTCCTCCTCCTATTTTTTCTTTACAACAACCTTGTGAGGTAGGCTAGGCTGAGGGTTAGTGACAGACCCACTGCCACCCAGTGAGCTTCATGGCTGGGTAGGGATTTGAGCTCTAGAATCCAAGGTCCTACTCCTAATACTGTAACCACTGGGCTGCTTTAATATGCTGACTGTTCCCTTGCATTTAATTTCTCCTTCAGAAATGGGGGAGGCCGGAAGCGGCACTTTCTGTGCCTGCACCATGATCTTGGAGATGATCAAGTGTCACAAGCTGGTGGATGTTTTCTTCGCTGCAAAGACCCTCCGCAACTACAAGCCAAATATGGTCGAGACCTTTGTAAGTAACAAACAAACAAAGTTTCCTTTGCCTACGCCTTTTGAAAATTTTGCAGCTCTTTGGAATTGGCAGGAAATGACAGAATTTTCTACCTCTGAACTGTGATCGTGACCTTTAGCTTGCACCACTTTTGTAAGATATGTTGGTCAATGGCTATCAACCATGGTAGCTCAAGAGAACTTCAATATTCATAGAATTATAGAGTTGGAAGGGACCTCTGATGATGAAGAGAAGAAGAAGAGTTTGGATTTGATATCCCGCTTTATCACTACCCTAAGGAAAGCAGCTAACAATCTCCTTTCGCTTCTTCCCCCACAACAAACACTCTGTGAGGTGAGTGGGGCTGAGAGACTTCAAAGAAGTGCGACTGGCCCAAGATCACCCAGCAGCTGCATGTGGAGGAGCAGACACGCGAACCCGGATCACCAGATTACGAGTCCACCACTCTTAACCACTATACCACACTGGCTCTCGATCATGACGATCATCTAGTCCAACTTGCTGCAATGCAGGAATATGCAACTGTCCCATACGGGGATCGAACCTGCATCCTTGGTGGTAATTAGCAGCAGGCTCTAATCAACTGAGCTATCCAGACTCAACAGCACTATTGAATACTAGTAGCTGCAGAGGGCTATTGACTTCATGCCCTGTGGCTGGGCATCCCTAGTTGGCCACTGGGAGAAACAGGATGCTGAACTTCTGCTCTGATCTTGCAGGGTCCTTTTTTACTAGTTGTTGGTATCATGGTCCTGACCAGGAATGAAAGAAAGCCTTGCTGTTTTCTTAACTGGCAGGAGGTTAGTGTGACCAGAGATGCTAGAGGAGGCTTCCATTTGAAGGGAGCTTCAGCTGGGCATGGAAGGCCCTAGGTGGACATTCAAGCATCCCCAAGCATAAATATAGCAGATAGGGTTGGTGGCTGAGGCCTTACCAGTTCTATTCCAAATAGTTTCTAAGCTTACCTTCCAAACTTTCCTCTCTCTCTCTACCTCAATACATGCTTGCCAGGAGTCATCAGGATAGAATCCAGGACCTTTATCTCTCTGTGAGATGGCCCTGCGTGGTGAGCCACCAGGACTGCTGCTGTTTACTGTCCCTAATTTGGCACATTATATATTGGGAAGAGCAGGTTATGGAGGGCAATTCAACATGATGCTAAGTCATGCTGTAGATCTGAGGTGGGATCCGTTGTCAACCTGTGAGCTGCATTCCATCAAGAGAAATCTAAGGGACACATGCCACTGGTGGGTGGGACCAGAGGCAAAATGTGGATGGAACATGGGATAGGACTTTGATCAGCAGGCTACATTCCAGCCAGACAAAAGTCAGAGATCCAAGCAGGCAAGCAAGAGAGGAAAGGCAAGGTCACAGTTCAAGGCACTTGAGGAGGGTATGGAGCAGGGTCAGTGAGAGGTGTGGCCTAGGGAGATGGGTTTGGCCTGGGGAGAGTTCTGAAGGTCACATAAAGATGTCTAGAAGGCCTTCTTGGCTGCAAGGAATTGCCTGAGGGCACACTATGCAGCTAGCTAGCTAAACAAATCTAAGTTGGGTCCGTGCCTGCATTGGACGCCTCCTGTATGCTGCTATGACTTCCATAATGGAAGGAACCACAAGGATCATCTAGTTCCATGTGCTGCAGTCCAGGAAAGTTTTGCCTGACACGGGGCTTGAACCCACAACCCTGAGATTAAGAGACTTTTGCTCTGCCAACTGAGCTATTGAGATCAAGCCAAATCAAAATGAGGATGAGGGCAATGGATTGTACACAGTGTTAATCCTACTCAGAGTTGGCCTACTGCAATGAATGGGCATGACTAACTTAGGCCAATTCATTTCAATGGTTCTACTCTGAGTGGAACCTAGGATACAGCCTGTCTTGTGTGAGTAAAAGCAAAATAAAAAATAGTGCAAATATAGCACCCAGCTGTAGATGGGAGTGGGACTGTTGGCACCGTAATTGAAAGATACTGTATTTTTTTGCTCTATAAGACACACTTTTTCCCTCCTAAAAGTAAGGGGAAATGTGTGTGCGTCTTATGGAGTGAATGCAGGCTGCGCAGCTATCCCAGAAGCCAGAACAGCGAGAGGGATCGCTGCGCAGCCCTGCGGAGGCTTCGTGCGGCTAAGCCAGATCCCACTTGCTGTCCTGGCTTCTGGCTTAGCTGTGCGCAGCCTCTTCCGGGCAGGGGGAGCCTTCATCCCGCTGCTCGGGAGAGGCTTCGTGCGGCTATCCCAGAAGCCAGATCCCTCTTGCTGTTCTGGCTTCTGGGCTTCAGAATATTTTTTTTCTTGTTTTACTCCAAAAACTAGGTGCGTCTTATGGTCTGGTGCATCTTATAGAGTGAAAATGGGGTATGTTTCTACCCCATTCACTGTCCATGCACTCAAAAACTTAATAAACGCTTGCAAACAGGGTAGTAGATTTGGGAGTGGTGGGTTTTGGTGCAGTTCTAGAGCCAAACCCTACGAATGAACATTTTGGTTTTCTAAGCACACCCATCTGCAATGCCGGAATCTTATTTTCCTGCTTTAAGTAGCGAGTCATGCCAGGAACAGAACTGGAATGGCGACGGCGGGGGGTGGGGGTGGAATATGACATTTGCGAAGTCTGGATTATCAAATTTCTACCTTGCAAAATGAAATGTCTTTTGGGGTGGATGTGATTGCATTAGGAATTAAAACCACAATTGGAGCAGGGGGACTGGAGGGGGGGGGGAGAGGATAGGAATTAAGCGAAAGCAATAAAAAAAATGCAAGAACTGGCACAGAGTCGGACAGCCTATTGGGCTAAATTGCAAGGTATTAGCAGATGCAAACTAGTGTTTTCATCCAGAACACAAACTTTCCCCAACCTCAGCTGAACCTGCAAAGGCTGTTTCCTGAAGACTCAATTTAATGATCCACCACAGGAGTAAATGAGATCTTGTCTGTTTTGCTATTAGTAGAGTTTCACTGATTTGCACCCGCAGAGGATCTGGCCCCTGTGTGCATCCTTTCTGCTACAGAACTTTGATGTTTCAATGCTGCCATCAAGGAAAGCAACCTTCTTCTTCTTCTTTTTCTTAATCCAAAAGCATTAGATAGTTGTTTAATCTCTTGTATAGTTGCCTTCACTCTTTGATTCTCTTCCCTTCTGGAGACCACTGGTACCTGAGGCTCAGGTTTCCCCAACCCATAAGAAACTAATTGGTTTCTTGAAAAGTTGGCTGCTGCTTCCATTGAAGGAATTGTACTTAAGAGTTTGGATGGAAAGCCTTCTCTAGCAGCCAGCCAAACTTCTATTGTTGCCTATATCTTAATTGCTCCTTCCACATGTTAAAGGCCAAGTCAGAATGATTGGGAGAGCATAGTCCATTGCATGAACCCCTGTCTGCAGTCTGAAGTACAGGCGGCAACATTTTTGCTCGCGTCCAATTGACATGTGACCGCCAACGCATGGGTCCTTTTGGACCTGGAAGAGGGCAGAATGGGGTGGGGTGGAATGGGGCATAACAGGGGGCCAGGAACGAAAACCCCATGCAAAATGGTTGTCACCTGTAGTGCAACCCAGACACAGATCGACCATCTCAGTGAAAAAGTAAAAGGGGCAACCAAAATGATGAAGCAGATGGCGCAACTCTCGTATGAGAAAAGAGATTGCTGTGTTTGGGACTTCTTGGTTTACAGATTTTAGTTTAGAGAAAAGGCAAGGAAGAGGTGATGTGATAGGCATTCATAAGGGTTTTTTCTCCCTCTCTTATAATATTCATGGACCTCCAATGAAGCTGAATGTTGGAAGATTCAGGAAAGATGAAAGGAAGTGTTTCTTCAAAGCAGTGCCTAGTTAAACTATGGAACTTGCTCCCACAGAGGCTGTGATGTCCACCAATTTGGGTGGCTTTAAAGGAGGACTGGATAAATGTGACGGATGATATTGCTATCGATGGCTACTAGTCATGGTGGCTATGCTGTGCCTCCAGTAAAGCTTATGAACAGCAATTCCTGGAAACCATGGAGGTGGGGTGGGGAGCGTTCTAATGTGCTTGGGTTTTGCTTGCAGGTTTCCCATAGGCATCTTGCTGGCCAGTGTGAGAACAGGGTGCTGGACTAGATGGGCCATTGGCTTAATCTTGCAGACTGAAATCAAGAATTTTCAGAGCAATCCAATTGCCCCTCTTCAGGGGGCAGGGCAGCCACAGACACATCCTGAGCCCCTCTTTCAGCTGAGCTGGGATGAGAGAGAATTTCTTTTTCTTTTTTTGCATTTAATGAGAAACTACCTAGTTTGCATTTTCAAACTAACACACAAACCAAAACAGATATCCTTTGAAATTTGCACTTCTCGGAAATTTGTGGTGCAGTTCTTCCACCGCCTAGCAGGGGGACGCCTCTGCCCGATTCAGACCCCCCTCCAGCATGGCAAATCAGGATTTGGGGTAGTTCTGCCCTGTGCTTTGGGTGGCTTGGGATGTAGCTAATTTCATGCTACAGCTATTGCTGGGCCGCAGTACGCCACGTGGTACAAAATGCAGAGCAGGTGCTTCAGAGAGTGTTTATTTCTGATCAATTGGTGGCAAAATGATTGGCATTGCTATGTCCGGTCCGTTGCCTTCAGACCTAACACTGACACCAGATCATTTTCTCCAGAATATCAATCACGATCCTTATTCTTCTCGCTTTTAAGGTGCCCACAGTTCACACAGCCCCCCGACTGTGGCATAAATGTATGATAGTCTCAGACCATCCCAGTAGGAAACTCATATAATACAAAAGAATTATCCATCATATCAGCTGCAGGATATAGATAAAAGAAGAGCACTCTGCTGCATAGATGACCTCTTAAAAGGAGCTGTCGTTTTTCTACTTCAGAGAACACCCTTTCAAAATGTGGTCTTGGCTCCTCTTTCATCTCTTTCCCAGGCTCTTGCGGACTCCGCTGATGCCTAAATCCTCCCCCTTCCTTCCTACTCTCCTGACATCCTAATAGCAGATCATTCTTTTGCACTCTGGCTTTCATGAGAGTTTGTTGTCTCTTTCTTTATACAGCAACGTTCCTTTCCATTTTGAAATTTGCTTTTGGACAACGAAGGTACGCAGAGAAATCTTAGCCCATCTTCCCCAGTGGACCTGAATTTTCCCAGCTGGATTCAACAGCGCTTACTTCCAAGCAAGTGAGCGTAGGATTGCAGCTACTGCAGAGCGAAAAATGCCACCCCATTTCACAGAGGCTTTTGTGGCCCTGTTCGCAGGCACCAAAGGGGGAAGAGATCAATAGCCTACCATTGCTTAGAAAAGTTATTGTTATTATTATTAATTGTTAAATTTGTACACTGCCATATACCCGCAGATCTCAGGGCCGTTCACAACATAAAATCACAATATATTAAAAAAACACACCACAAAGTACGTAATAAAAACAATAATAAAGACAACTTAATTACCTCTGCCTTCCACAACACATTTTCAAAGGGCATTGGATGTCAATCAGCCAAAGACCTGGTTAAAGAGTGGCATGTATGGTTCTTTTCCTCATGCCCATCTTGTCTTAACAACCCTGTGTGGTAAGAGATAACCATATTCAGTTATGTATGCAGATAAAGAGCTGTCAGGTTACCATTGCAAGCCCTACATAAGAGATCTCAGTACAGGAAGAGCTGAAGAGGGTTAATTCTTATTTGGATGGCACTTTTAAAAATTATGTGTTTATTGTAAAATTACATATTAATGGAGAAAGCAATTAATATATTCCTCATGTATTTGAAAGGGATGCGGGTGGTGCTGTGGTCTAAACCACAGAGCCTAGGGCTTGCTGATCGGAAGGTTAGCGGTTCGAATCCCCACAGCGGGGTGAGCTCCCGTTGCTCGGTCCCTGCTCCTGCCAACCTAGCAGTTCGAAAGCACATCAAAGTGCAAGTAGATAAATAGGTACCGCTCCGGTGGGAAGGTAAACGGCGTTTCCGTGCGCTGCTCTGGTTCGCCAAAAGCGGCTTAGTCATGCTGGCCACATGACCCGGAAGCTGTACAATGGCTCCCTTAGCCAATAAAGCAAGATGAGCGCTGCAACCCCAGAGTCGGTCACGACTGGACCTAATGGTCAGGGGTCCCTTCACCTTTACCTTTACATGTATTTGAAGTTGTTTTATTCTCATTTTTAATGTTTATGTTGGTGAGAGATTCAGATGTTCTTGACACTCCACCTCCTGTCACACCTCATTACAGTATGTGGAGGATGGGGAACATGGGGGACACTGTGGTCTAAACCACTGAGCCTCTTAGGCTTGCTGATCAGAAGGTTGGCAATTTGAATCCCCGCGATGGGGTGAGCTCCTGTTGCTCTGTCCCAGCCCTCCAACCTAGCGGTTCGAAAGCATGCCGGTGCAAGTGGATAAATAGGTATCGCTGCGGTGGGAAGGTATATAGCATTTCTGTGTGCTCCGGATTCCATCACAGTGTTCCGTTGCACCAGAAGCAGTTTAGTCATGCTGGCCAAATGACACAGAAAAACTGTCTGTGACAAACGCTGGCTCCCTCGGCCTGAAAACGAGATGAGTGCCGTAACCCCATAGTCGACTTTGACTGGACTTAACCGTCCAGGGTCCTTTACCTTACCTTATGTGGAGGATGCTCCATTGCCTAGTCACTGACAATAAGGAGTTACATGGACCAGTGGTCTGATTCAGTATCAAGTCACCTTGCTGTGTTCCAGAGCAAATGCTCATTTATTTGAGGATCCTGTTTCCCTCAGCAGCCAGCCATGGGGCCCGCAAGCAGCACAAGAGGGTCATAACCCACACCCCATGTTTTTAGTGAATAGTGTTCCTCAGTGAATAGTGTTTCTCAGAGACGCAGTGTTGTATTTTCATCACAGTAAACCCACTGAAATAAACAAGAAGAAAAAATAGTGGGTCTGCTCTGAGAAGGCCTAGCACGGGTTACATACAACCCTTGTTGTCTTTGACCCTGGAACTAATATATAGCTCATCACTAATCCTGACCTGGCGCCAGTCACCATCTCTTAGCCTAACTTCTCTCACTAAGTTGTTGGGGGTGCATAAAATGGGGAGAAGCAGAAATATGTACACCATCTTGATCTCCTTGGAGGAAAGGTGAGATACCAATATAAAAATAAATAAACTGATAAAGAATTAAATTAAATTGTAGTGAATTTCTCCAGCAGGAGGTGTTTTCAGGGCCAGATTTAGGTTTGATGAGGCCCTAAGCTACTGAAGGTAATGGGGCCCGTTATATGTCCAGCTGTCCTTTGTCAACAACAAATTGTCGCTTTTTTTGTATTGAGTATATGCTATGTGGTAATTTATGGACCTTATAGGTATCTAAAGCCATTTGCACATAACAAAATATGTACATCATAGGAGCCTACACAACACGAATACTGTTGCTGTATGTAGATTTATTTGTTTTTTATCTTATACTTTGGAAATGTACATCTAGATTTTTTCCCTTTAATTTTTTTGGGGGGCCCCCAAGAGTGTGGGGCCTTAAGCTATAGCTTGTTTCGCTTATATGTAAATCCTGCACTGGGTGTTTACCAGCATTTTTTGCAAGGCTGGGCCAGAGACAGAGGAGAAATTTACTTGGTATGCTTTTTGCAGTGGACTGAGCTGATCTGATACTCCTGAACTTGCCTTCACTCCCAGTCAAGTTGTGCACTTTTATGATGCCGTTTTGGTGAACAAAATGTGCCCATAAGAACGTGTACCTTATGTACCAAATGCTTATTTTATGGGGAAATGCACTGCAAAGCATTGGTGAATGTGCACTTTGCCCGTTCTTAACAATCCTTCTTTTCTCCTCTCCCTCCCCCTTAAAGGAACAGTACCACTTCTGCTATGACATAGCCCTGGAATACCTGGAGTCACTGGAGACCAGATAGCACCTTGCCAGAAGCGCGCAGGCAAGTGTTTGTTTTGGATTTGTGCCAAACATGCATTTTGCATCCAGACTTTTGAGTAAGAGCAAGGAGGAGGAGGAGAGAAGAGAATACAAGGAAAAGAATGAAAACTAAAAAGGCAAGATATGGGGCCATGTTGTCCATCCCCTACCTTCATCTTTCCTCCTAAGCTTCTGCTCCCACTTCTCCAGCTGCTGGCAGAGCAGAGCCTACACAAACTCATCCCATCTACAAAACGATTGTGTATGTGCCAGCCTGGAATTTGGCACCTGTGTGTTGTTTGTGCATGTATGGACACCGGTGTGCGGGAAGAGCATCAGGCTCAATCTCCTTGTGACTGCACCAATCACAGCCTAGAAAGGGATCCATGCCACCGAGGCTGGGAGGAGAGCTGAAGTCCAGCATCTTTCACAACGACCACAGGAGATTTGAAGAAACAGTGGTGTTCTGAAAGCTTATAAGAAGCTCTTTGAAGGCGACCGTGCAAAATTTTGGCAGCCATCCTTCTGTGGGAAAGTGTGCGCCATCTTGGACTGACAGTGAAAATTGGGATGTGTACAGTTTTTCACTCTTTGCTTATAACCCTACGTTTATTCTTTCCAGACTAATGCCTGCCTCCAAAGAGTGTTTCTGAATTTATCCCTGATCTAACCTTACCTGTAGGAAAACACAGTGAATGAATTCTGGGGATTATCTAAGAGAAAGAAAGCACACAGGCTACTTGCTCCAAGACTAAGGTAGCCAGACCAGATTTTGTAACAACCACCATGTCTTTGTGCCTGGATACGCCACTCCAAACAGCCGAAGCTTTAGAAGGGGCTTCCCTTTTAGAGCGTCAATCCTCCAGCCCTTTCAAGGCATTTTCAAGAGGGCTACCCCAACACTGAATCAGCCCAGATATCACACCATTCTTCAGAATGTCAGCCACTAGAACTAACTCTGTCTCTATCTCAGACACATACATACAGTGGTTTCGGACACTGCCAGCAAGTGATTCAGCAGAAAAGTCTATCCTCCAAATGGGTTTGACCATATTTCTGAGGACTGGTCAACAAGTGGGGACAAACGGGGATGAGACAGATGCCAGTGGCAATGCAGATCCATTCTTTTTTTAAGGGTCAGGCGTGAGCTTCAGGTTGTGGGTGGCTGTGGCTTTGAGATGGAAGGAGGTCACTTGTAAATTATTTCAGCACATAGGACTAATGTGGTTCAAATTCATTTTACCTGGAAAGGTAAGCCTGCTCTCCCGGCATACAGGGACAAACACTTCCACATTTATTTTCTGTAGCTTGGTTCAGTGAATCAGAACTTTAAAAGCATAAATTGTGGTGGTTACCAGCAGAAGAATAAGAGAGTTGGGTGGGTAGCATTTCTTCATTCTGTGCCCTTAGCTGTGAATTTGGGCCTGCAGCTGGTGTGTGTGTGTGTGTGTGTGTGTGTGTGTCAGAACCTGTACGGCCACTTTCCTTCCCTTTCCTCCATCAGCCACCTCCCACTCTGGGTAACAGACTTTTCATAGATAATTAACAGAAGAGTGTCTTCCTGCAAAGACACTCTTCATCTCACCAATGAGTTGCAGTCTCAGTTGCTCCCATAAAATCCTGATTGGCCAAGACACTGACTAGCAAAGAAAGGAGAGAACTCTTGGTGGCTAGGGGTATGCATTCATCAACCAATGCAAAGGGGAACAGATGGGAGACCTATCCAGAACCCCCTTTTGTGCACATTTAGGAGGGTTACCTTATTTGGCAGCCATTCCTGCCAATCCCCATTCATTCCCCAAATATCTGCATCATTCCAGAGGGGTGAGGTCGGCCAAATTGGGAGCCACCAGATTACGTAGGGATCAGTATTTGTTCCACAATGCCCTGAAATGGCACAACGTTCAGGGCAATCTGGAGAGGAAAAAATAGTGTGGTTGCTGCCAGGAGGAATGAATCTTTGCACAGCTGCAGCAGCACCAAAGCTGGGGGCACAAAGTAGTGATTTTTAAAACTGGGGAAAACCCCCCAACATCAACAAATGGGAATACCAAGATGGATGAAATGCTCAGAAATATGAAGCAAAGAGTAGCAAAGGCAAAAGGTATTCTGAAATCGGGGTGGGGACAAGCCTTGCAAACCGCTAATGAGTACAGATTTCTAGTCATGTGATAGAAACCAGCCCCCTTTTGTATTCAGCCACTGGCTTTTGCATCCAGATGACCAATGGTGCCTCCAAGACGATTTAGGGCACCACTTTCCTGCAGGGGTTAAAGACAGTTCAATAGGTCACTGTGCAAAAATGAAAACCAAAATTGTTCCTCCTAGCTAAGAGGAAGCCAAACAAGGCCTAGGGTATATTATGGCACTTATGCTAGATATCAATGCCAGAGTAGTAGGGGGAATTATTTGAGGGTGAAATTGATGGAAACCATAAGCTGAAATTAAAGGGCTCCTCTACACCTTTCTGAACATAGAGATTCATACTGAGAAATGCTACTTTTGTGAATAGCAACATGTGGCTTCCTGTGTTCAAGGCAAAGGCAACCACCATTCATTTTTCTACAAACTTTTTACAAGAGTATTTAAAAGGCTGTGCCAATGGCACTATTTCACAAGGGTGTAGAATGTTGCACTGAATTCAGCTTGTAACCTTTCACCTTAGTTTTTTAAACAACAACAACAACATATGATTGAGTTCCAGTCTTCAAGACTGCAGATGCATTCTTGAAATGCTTGATGAACTCTCTGAAGAGAGAGGTTTTGCTGAGTTGGATTTTCAGGGACTGGCGATGGCGTTTCAGTGTTCTGCACAGCTCCCGGCCACCTCCTATGACTACAAAAATCGGAACAGAATGTACAAAATGGTATAAAGATTTCGGAATCCTGCAAAATTAAGAGGCATTGTGCAGATTGGGTTTATTTGCATTCTTTATATTGGTTGCCAAATCCAGCGTTTCTTAGTGCAGGATTCTATTTCAGAGTACACATAGTGTGATACGGTAAGTCTCCTTGATGAAAAGTAACACGGGATGTGTCCCAAATACCGGGAAAAGTGTCCTTCCTTGGGGGAAAAAAGTTTTATGGTAGTGCTCAGAAACCTTCACCTTATATATCTAGCAAGGAAGATATAAGTCAAGCAATTATTTTGAGGATGCTTGCTAATATCCATTGTTTTCGTTACTGAGCTGTGCAGCCCTGTTTATGAAGAAATAAACAACTACTGCCATGTGCATCTCCTTTGGATCAGACACCTCAACAGTTAATGCCCATCCAATTGGAAAAGTCTGTTTACATGGCAAATAAATAAATAAAAAGCAAATAAGCATATTTTGTTTATCAAGATGTGTACACATATTGCAGCAAGCATCATCATAGAAGCATAATTCCCCTCTCTCTCACACACAGTGGGGATGCCAATTTTGATACATAACTGTAATTTTTTTTATTAAAAAAACAATTTTGCAAAAAGTTTAAATCTGCCCGAATATAGGGGCAACATTTTTTAGGCTACCAGAATGGTCTGAGTCTATTAATGGCAAAGCATTGCAGCCCTGATGGCTAGCTATGCATGTCTAAAGCTGAACTGGGGCATCCATCCCTCAGATATTTTGGATCAAGGAGACTGCGCCAATGCAATCCTATGCACATTTACTCTGAAGTCACTCCTACTGCATTCAAGCTCTGGTGTCATGCAAATGTGCACAGTATTGCAATTCAGTTTTCTTTTATATTTTATTTTAAAGGGGAGGAATGGATGGGAGGAATATTTCCCAACCTGCATGATGAAAAAAGCAGCAGTGGTTAATAAATGAACCATCCAGATCTCTTTGCTCTGAAGTTGCAACGACACGATGGGACTTTGGGGGCTCTTTTGATATTCTCGTTCCTTACTTTCCACCGTATGTTTGTTTGATACTTTGTGGGAAATGACATTCCGCAGTCACACCTGTTCTGTCCATCAACACCTGGCTGTTTTGCTGATGCTCTGAAGCTTTAACTCTGCGTGTGGACTCCTGGTCGCCCGAGTAGACGTAACGGGCTGCTTCATTCATCCCATTGGAGAAACACAAATTTGTATGAAAAATGCTAATGCCTTCAATAAAGACAACAGTTCGTACAAAAGCTATCCTTCCAAGGAATTTATATATATATATATATAAAACCTCGGCAGAGGTAGATTGTGTAGTAAACTCACGTGTCACGTGGCATCCACACACCTGTAAAAGAGAGACGCTAAACAAAAGTTGGGGTTTTAAATGGCAACAAATGTATTGAGTTATTTTAACTGGATCTTCAAATGGGTAAGACTGCTATGCGAAACAGCTAGGCTATCAGAATGGTCTGAATTTATTAATCTCTAGAAATCTGAGTGCTAGGAATGTGATCCCTCAGTCTCAGATTTGTTGGACGGGCTCCCATGGCTCAAGGCCTCGGAGCCGTTAATTCCCCACTCCTTGCTAGCACATTGAGGGAATTCTGAACTCTTCCCACACCCCTCTAGCCATGAGGCTTTGAGTGGTTGAGCAGGGTTCCTGTCCCTACCCTCCAGCCATGAAGTATTGATGGACAGGTCTGATGAAGCAGCCATTCATCTCCTAGGACTTGCTTCAGGGTGCTCACCAATTATTTCTCCTTCTGTCCCAGTTTACCTAACCTGACATTGTAACTTTCCCCCTGTAATGGAGAACCACCTGATGACCAAGGCCGGTATGGGCAAACGATCCCCACAAGGAATTCAAAGTCAAGTGGGACCTCTTGCATGGGGGACTCTCTATATGGCTCCAAGTAAACGGCAAACAGAACAAGTCCTGTACTAACCAAGGATGGGTGGGAGAGTGCCTGCCAAGTCGCAACCGAGCACAGGGAGAGCTCATATCAGATAAAACAAGCTCGAGACGGCCTCTCCTCAGCTAATTCCAGCTGGTGCCAAAGGTCATCTCAGGATTTAGTGGGCTGGGTATAAAAGTTGATCCACCCAGCTGTGCCAGGAAACCCTCCTGCCCTAAAGAACCGTAAATGGGACCTGTACTGGAGTGGAGTCTTGTTTTGGTAGTGGAAATAGAAAAGAGCAGATGTTGAGAGGTGATGAAACATTCTAGATTTCCACAGTGGGGTAGGGGTGGGGCAAATCATGTCATGCAAGTGCATTGCTCAGGTCAGTGTTCCAGAAAACATGCAGCACCAAGAGAAAAGTAATACACTCCTAGTAATGCTGCTTCAACGGAGGTATAGTGTCCAGAGAGGAAGTGACTGTACCACTCTATTCCACCTTAGTCAGACCCCACCTGGAATACTGTGTCTAGTTCCAGGCACCACAGTTCAAGTAGGATATTAATAATAATAATAATAATTTTTTATTTATACCCCACCCTCCCCAGCCAAGGCCGGGTTCAGAGCGACTTACAAGCAATAATAAAAACAAGATGAATGATTACAACTTAAAAACAAAAATAAAATACAACATTAAAATAATGGAACATTAAAATATTAAAATGTAGCCTCATTGCAGGAGGAGAAGGAAAAGAAAAAAGAAAGAGAGGGAGGGAGGGAATCAAATTGGCTCCAAGCCAAAGGCCAGGCGGAACAACTCTGTCTTACAGGCCCTGCGGAAAGAAATCAGATCCTGCAGGGCCCTGGTCTCATGAGGCAGAGCGTTCCACCAGGCTGGAGCCAGAGTTGAAAAGGCCCTGGCTCTGGTTGAAGCCAATCTAACTTCCTTAGGGCCTGGGACCACTAGGGTGTTTTTATTTATGGACCTTGAGGCTCTCCGTGGGGCATACCAGGAGAGGCGGTCCCGTAGGTACGAGGGTCCTAGGCCATGAAGGGCTTTAAAGGATATTGACAAGCTGCAGCAGAAGGGTGACTAAGATGATAAAGGATCTGAAAATCAAGCCTTATGAGGAATGGTTGAAGGAGTTGGGTATGTTTAGCCTGGAGTAGACTGAGTGGTGATGCACATTTATTTATTGAAAGGACTTTCAGGGCACACTGAAAAATGCAGAAAAACACAGGAAATGTTTTTTTTTTAAATGTACAGTGGATGCTCGGGTTGCAAATGTGATCTGTGTGGGAGGCACGTTTGCAACCTGCAGCGGTTGCAACCCGCAGCACAGCACCATGTCTGCACATGTGCAGGTCGCAATTCGGTGCTTCTGCACATGCACAAAGCATGATTTAATGCTTCTGCGCATGTGCGAGCGCCGAAACCCAGAAGTAATCCATTCCGGTACTTCCGGGTTTGGTGCAGTGCGCAACCCGAAAACGTGCAACCTGAAGCATCTGTAACCTGAGATATGACTGTATTTTGATATTTAGGTTTTCTCAGCATTTTCACTTTTCGATGCCATAACAAACTATATATTAAAAAACAAATACCCAAAACATGGCAATTTAACCATTCGTTAAAGCCATCCACATGTGCAGCCATTTCCCCAAATGTTACCCCAAAGCAGGCTGAAAGAAAAACATTTTCAGAGTTCTCTTAAAACCCAGCAGTGACATTAGAGAGAAATTTGAGTCAGTTTGCATTCAAAGGCAAATCAATGAGACTTGCATTTTCCAAAACAATGTGCAAACCAAAACTGAGCCCTCCTTCAAATTCACGCATAACTGAATTTTGTGATGTAGTACTTCAACCAGACAATATTTACCAAAAATGCCAATAAAAAGCAATACATTAGAGAAAAATAACATACAAAAATGTCTACATTAGTCAAAACTGTACACATACAAAAATGTACTTATTAGGAAAAATTAGCACTAAATTGTTGATTAATTTTTATGAGGTTTTTTTTCCAAAATTGCAAAATATGGAGAACTGAATTTAAGATTGGAAAAAATCTTTCCAACCCTATATTGTCACGTATCTCCCCCCACTTGAGGAAGTGCCAAATCATCATCTTCATCCCCATCCAGCTTCATCATTGTTCCACTTTAAGATATGCTTAAAATGCTCCATTCTCTTGCAGCTTAGGAATTCGTCCTTTCTGAATTTCTACACTGAATGCTTTGATCTGCGCCTTTCAGACTCATATGCGCATGAGAACTTAGCTGTTCACTGGCTTTAGCACTCCTCCAATTATTGCAGCTGTCAACAGTTTATATTATCAAAATATGCAATTAAATATCTAAAAAAAATATTTTGGAGAGAAAATATGTATTTAAAAACATGTTTGGAAGGATTTTTAATTTTTTTTTTTTTACTGTAGAAAAATATTATTATTCATTTCATTTCTATACAGTTTTACAATTTTAGGAAAAATTCTCAGAGCAGTTTACAAGATATTAAAAGACCAAACAATCCAGAATGAAACATTACCGGAGAAAATAGAAGGGGGTTGTGGATTTTAAAAACCACAAAGTGAGAAAGCAGAGAAATAGATACATTCATCCATTCCAGTCTTGTCGATAGCTTTTGCTGCAAAAATAGCAGGCTGGAGGAGGAGTAATTCTACAGTCTTATTCCTCTGTTTATTTCCTGTAAGGCAGCAATCAAATAAAATGGATGTATGTAGTATGGATCTGCTGATTGGTGGGAGATTGGGTGGTTAATTGATTCTGATAGGCTGGTGTGACCTAACAGAATAGATACTAAGGATTTGCAGGGGATGCTGAGGTTAATGAAATGTAGACCTGGTTTCATTTGTGGAAATTAACATCAAATGTCTGCATTCTCAATGAGCCCAATGTCACATCTCATTTCTGAGATGAGCTGCATTTGCTAAAGGGTACCATTTGGTGTATCAGCCAGCTGCCAAATGATTCTGACCAGAGCATAGGTGAACCAGAGACCTATAGACTTATTTTCTACTGATCCATGCGGGAGCTCAGAGCTGATTCCCCATCCAAATGTTGTGCGAAGGGAAGGAAAGGGAAAAAGGCAACTCACACAATGATTCTTTCAGTCTTGAGGGAAAATTCAGAGTTTGAGAAGAACTTCATATGGCCAGATGTTTAATATTTTCACTCCTATCTCTCGACAAGGGCAAGCATTTTAAAAATAAATAAATCCAAGTGCTATAAAGGGTATCAACTTTCCAACTCTCTTTGAGATTTGCATCCAAGGTAACACAGAAATCTTGTTTATGGGCATATGTACATAGAGACCTATGTATATAGAGACATATGTGTAAATATATATAGACACTGTTGTTCATATGGATAATGTTTATCGGTATTACAAAATCAGTGGTGCTCTTTCTCCCTTCCTTTTTAATAAAATTCAAAACAAAAAAACGAAGCCAATGAAATAAAACATTTTCAAATGGCAAAAAGGAAGTTCCAAAATTTTATTCATGTGCTTGGGGAAGGGGGGGATGGTTCTTGGCTTAATAGTAGTAGTAGTAGTAGAAACTTGCACTGGTTTCCTTGCAACTTTGTTATGGGAATCATGCCGACTGATGTTTTTTATCTCTGCGGAAGGCAACATCTTCATAAATCTCCCCTCTCCATCCAGTTAAGCCAGATGAATTCTCAGAGTTGAATGGGACATTTCAGCCAGGCTGTAACATTCAAGGATGGTAGGAAGAAGAACCAGTGAGGGGTGTGGCTTGAGGAGAGGCAGGGTGTGACTTTGAGAGGGCTAGATAAGCTGAGGGGGCACATTTGACCCATAGGTTGGAGATTCCCCTCTCCTGACCGGTCGGTGAAACTTCTGTTCTAGGGATGGAAAGATGTTGGCCATTAAACAGCACACCTATTCAGGTATAGCTAGACCATGGGTCAGCAAACTAAGGCCCGTGGGCTGAATGGAGTAACTGTGCCCCTGAAGGACCAGGTGCGCAGCCTGGGAGTCATTCTGGACTCACAGCTGTCCATGAAGGCGCAGGTCAATTCTGTATCCAGGGCAGCTGTCTACCAGCTCCATCTAGTACGCAGGCTGAGACCCTCCCTGCCCGCGGACTGTCTCACCAGAGTGGTGCATGCTCTAGTTATCTCCTGCTTCTTCTACTGCAATGCGCTCTACGTGAGGCTACCTTTGAAGGTGACTCGGAAACTACAACTAATCCAGAATGCGGCAGCTAGACTGGTGACTGGGGGCAGCCGCCAATACCACATAACACCAGTCTTGAAAGACCTACATTGGCTCCCAGTACATTTCCAAGCACAATTCAAAGTGTTGG